CAAAGGGGGTTTAAAGGAAAAAAAAAAAAACCCCAAAAAAAACCCGGGCCCAAAAAGGGGTGTGGGGGGGTTTTTGAAACCCCCGGGTTTTTTCCGATTTTGTTTCCCTTTGAAACAAAATTTGTTCCCCCCGCCCCGGCCCCTATTGTTCAAAAAAAAACTTTTTTCCTCCGGGGGAAAGGGGGGCGGGGGTTTTTTACCATAAGACAAAAAAAAACGGCCCCATACAAACAGAAAGCCCACAAAGAAAAAAGGGGAAAAGACTAACACCCATACATAAATCTTTAAATCTGAAAAGTCCCCCCCCATTAAACCCATCGACCACCGGGGCAACGGGGAAACGGGTTTCCCCTTTTTGTTCAACATGGATCACTACGAAAAGGTCCTAAATGCACTAGAAGAAAAAAGAAGAAGATGTAATTATACAGCTTTGCAAAGCCTTCGAAAAGTGTGACATGGCGTAATAGCGACAAAATGCGGCTAAAGGAATAACGGGAAAAGTCGTCGAGGATTATAATTTCCTCACTAAAAAGAACACAGAAAGGGAGTCGTCAACAGGTAAAGTCCCAAGCGTACGGTAAAAGCTCTGTTCCCCAAGGCACAGTACTAGCTCCCCTTTGTTCCTACCTCATATCCGACATAGACAAGGATGTAGCCCGCCCGGTTTCCTTTGCAGATGACACCCCAACTGCTGCAGTTCTTCCCTTGCAGCACTGCAAAGGCTCCGGCGGCATCAACCAAATCTTTTTAGTGGGCTGCAGAAAAAAAATTGAATTCAACGATGAAAATTTCAATTACCAGATATGGTAAAAAATGAGGAAATTAAAAACTTTTATCAGAGTAAAAAACAAAATTTTGGCCACAAAATAGGCGAAACACCAACGTCAAAGACTGGGAGTGATTTTGTCGGGGATCTCACCCTTTAAAGGGCCATAAATTGTATCAATAAAATCTGCTAGAAAAATGACGGATGGATAATGAGAACCTTCAAAATAGGGGGCCCAAGCCCCTGATGACACTCTTTAGGTCACTTGTTTATCTAGGCTGGGAATATTGCTGCACCAACAGCACCTTTAAGGAGGTGAAATTGCCGACTAGAAAAATTTCAGAGAACTTTCCGGCCGCATAAAGGAGATAAAACCCTCAATTTCTGGGAGCGTTGAGGTTTTAAACCCGTATTCCCTGGAACGCAGGAGGGAGAGAAATGATTATATACACCCGGAAAAACCTAGAGGGATAGTACCGACTTGCACCAAAAAAAATCATCATACGAAGCAAAAGACTTTGGGAGACGATGCCCCATCCCCCCCAAAGAAAAGCAGGGTGTCACTAGCCGTTAAAGACCATCAATAAATGTCAGGGGCCCGAATGTCAACGCCCCCAGACACTAAGGGGGGTTACCAAACGACCCCCGGCAAATTTCAAGCTGGCACTGGACAAACCCTAAAGTCAGTTTCCCGATCACGGGCTGTGGCTGTACGCTGGTTTTTCGTGCAGCCAGCAGCAACAGCTGGTTGAAAGGGGGGATCCACCCGGAGGCCCGGTCACAGACCGGGCCGCGGGGGCGGGGTTTGCCCCGAAAAATCTCTCCGGTAAACTCCGCGCCCGGAAGTTGGGCCTTCAAAAGTGTTGCCTTCATACTGGTGAAAGGCTTTGATCCCGGAAATTTGAGCTACCTCCTGTTCCTGGATCAAACCCGCTTACCTCCCCTTCCCCAGAAGTAATGGTAACAACCCGAGGAGTGTGATGATAAACCCGGGAACACCGAGCAACCCCCCCCAGCAACACCCAAAAAAAACCCCCAAACCCAAAAAAAAAAAAAGTGCTTAGCAGTTTAACAAGATTTAGTATCTCCGAATTGAAAATATTAAACCACAAGTTGGCCAAACTTCTTTTAAATATATATTATAATAATATATAATATATATATATATATATATATATATAATATATATATATAAATATTTTATATTATATATATATATAATATATTGTGTGTTTTATAGTGTGGTTGTATATTATTATATATATATGTATATAAAAATATTTTTATATTGTATATATTAAAATATATATATATATTTAATATATATATTTTATTATAATATATATATTATATATATATAATATTAATTATAATCATATATATTGATGTTACATAATCTTTTTCATCAAAAATTTATCCTGTGATCCCTTTTTGCCGAAAAAAAAAAGTTTGCAATTAAAAATTTTTACGTATGCAACATGAATTTTCATTTCTTAGAGAAAATAGAATTTAAATTCTAATTTAAATTCGAAAGATAAAATATTTATAAAGGGGCGGAGCTGATATTTCTGGTTTTCAAGCAAAAAAGAATTATATAAAGTTTTATAGAATGCGGAAATTATTAAAAATGAGATACTCTGAGGGGAACAAAGGCAGTTTTTTTTTTTTTTTTTGGAAAGGCCTGAGTTGTACCCCCGCAGTTTACAAGACTGCCACCCCACGAGCCCCCCTTGGGCGGGGCAGGGTGGAGACAAGGCTGGTCGGGGCCGGGCCCCGGGGGCGTTTAATCCCCGGGAAAAACCCCAGGTAACCTCCCGGTAAAAACAGATTAATTGGTGGACTGATGTATGAAAGGCTTATTTCCTTAAAAAAAAAGGAGAGAGTAAATAAAAAGAGACAGGCGCCCCCCTTTACGGCGAGGGAAAAGAATGCGTGCGGCAAAAAGAGGCATATATCGGGGAATGCGCGGGGGAGACACGGTCAGAAAAATAGCAAGCATCAAATTTTAAGCTAAAGGAATCTTATAGGAGTCAGGAATCGGGGGGAAGAACAAAAGATAAATGAAATCAAAAAAGAAACCCAAAAAGTTTTTTCCTATCCCCAAATCAAAGTCGAAAACAAGCCAGTTTGGGCCCCTCTTAAAAAAGATGGGTCCTACAAGATGCAGCAAAGGGAAAAGAGTGAGCTATCAAGCCCAATATGACTCAGTTTTTTTGCAGCCCCTAACCAGACTGAAAATCGAAAAGATCAAAAAGAAATTTTTATGAGAGAGCCAAGAAATTTGGTTTAAAACAAGACTATCCGAGTTATTCGACCAAAGGCTTCGAACAGGCGAAAAAAATGAATTTTCCCTGCCCCTTTCCCGGGAGATCATGGAACTCCGTGTTTTAAGAACTGCAAAAAGCCCCCTTTTCCCAGCCTTTTCCACTTGGAGAGGGAGTGGGGCACGGGGGTGTCCCACAGTTACTAAAAACAAAGACATAGCCCCCCTCCACAAGGGGGCAGTAAAACAACAGCAAAGAACTACAGACCCAAGACTAAATCCCATATCATAAAAATCTTTTAAAGGGTCCCAAGAAGCAAGTCACCCCCCATTAGAAACCCCAGTTCCCCAACCGGGGGAAAATGGGTTTGAAAAGGTCGCTCCCGTCTGTCTCAAATATTGGATCACTACGAAAAAAGGTCCCAAAAGCATAGAAGACAAAAAGAATGCGATGTAATTTTACAGATTGAAAAAACCCTTTGCAAGTGTGACCAGGGTATAGCGCACAAATGGTGTAAAGGAAAATAAAAGGAAAAGTCGGGCGATGGATCTATATTTCCTCCTAACAGAACCAGGAGTAGTCGTCAAAGAGTAAAATCCCAGGAGTTACGGGAAAAGCTCTGTTCCCAAGGCACGTACTCGCTCCATCTTTTTCCCTTTCCCCCATATCGACATAGACAAGGTGTCACCCACAGCACCGTTTTCCTTTGCAGTGACCCCCGAATCTGCTTGACAGTGTTTCCATTGCAGACACTGCAAGGCCCCAGGCGGACATAAACCAAATCTTTCAGTGGGCTGCAAAAAAACAATATGAAGTTCAACGAGAAAAATTTCAATTACTCAGATATGGTAAAAACGGGGGGGGGAAAATTTAAAACTTATCAGAGTCAAAACAAAATTTGGCCACAAATAGAGCGAAACCCCAAAGTAAAAACCTGGGAGTGATCGTTGGGGATTCACCTTCAAGGGCCCAAAAAAATTGTATCAATCCCATTGTAGAAAAAAGACAAAATGGTAAGAGAACCTTCAAAAAATGGGAGGCCCAAACCCCTGTGAAATCTTCAGGTCACTTGTTCTTCTAGGCTGGAATATTGCTGCCACTAAAGCACCTTTTAAGGCAGGTGAAATTGTGACCCGAAAATGTACAGAGAACCTTCACGGCGGCTAACGGAGATAAAACCCTCAATTACTGGGAGCGCTTGAGGTTCCCGAACCTGTATTCCCCGGAAAAGCGGCGGGAGGATACTGTTTATTACCCTGGAAAATCCCAGAGGGCTAGTTTCCGAACTTGCACACGGAAAAAACCTCACTACGAAAGCAAAAGACTTGGCAGACGATGCAACATCCCCCCAATGAAAAGCAGGGGTGTCACTAGCACGTTAAGAGACCATACAATAAGTGTCAGGGGCCCGAGACTGTTCAACTGCCTCCCAGCATACATAAGGGGGATTACCAACAGACCCCTGGCAGTCTTCAAGCTGGCACTGGACAAGCACCTAAAGTCGGTTCCTGACCAGCCGGGCTGTGGCTCGTACGTTGGTTTGCGTGCAGCCAGCAGCAACAGCCTGGTTGATCAGGCTCTGATCCACCAGGAGGCCTGGTCACAGACCGGGCCGCGGGGGCGTTGACCCCCGGAACTCTCTCCAGGTACAAAATAAACAGTAATTGAAAGCCCATAAGATGCACAGGATTTCGGGCAAGTAAGTTTATTTAGTCACAGGTATACATAAGTACAATTGTCATAAATAGTGTAAATTACCTATGATAGCCCAAAAACGATAGACAAAGTGACTGATTTCCATTAGGGGTCCTTGAAAAAATACTTGAAGGTGTGACTTTTTATGGGTTATTCTAGGTAATTTAAACACGTTACTCTGTAAGAAAACCGTGATCACTGAACATGGCGTAAACCTGCACGTAAATGAACATACTTACTTACCGAAAAGCGTAATAAAACGTTATTGACGCAAAGTGATGTTGGTGTGTCTAGCAGCGGCGTCGACCAATCACACGTGGTGTTCCTCCTCCAGTATTTACATCCTCACTGGGCTTGGCGTCGTCTTAGTCCTCCCAGCCCTGTTTTTTTTGTATTTTGGAGGGAAATTGACCCTTGCAAATAACCATCAAGATGTCCTACGCTCCCAAATCTAAGGTGCAGAAGGTCATGGTGCTGCCCATTGTATCCTTTTGAGTGAAGACTGATTTATTTTGTGGGTTTATGAGTTGGCGCCAGAATAGCAGGTGAAGGCGGCGTCATGTTGGCTCATGGTAATCCTGAAAAGCTTATTTTAATGGATTTTATGCCTCGGACTATATTTTTAACGTTTCATTGTACCATGTAACCATTAGATATTAGGTGCAGGATAACAGTATAATTAGTATTTTTTTTTTCGTTAATATATGTGATTGCTGTATAAAGTTCCCAGAGAAAACGCCGGTAATTTATTACAAATTTTTTTGGGGACTGTTTAATACCTATAGACTTTCTAACCCTCTTTTTCTCAGGTAGCAACACTACAAACAAAACTAGGACTTTCCTGTTTCCCTAAACTTTATATATATATTTTTTGAGTTAATTGATATATAGAACATGATACCAGTATAAAACATTTTGACAAAATAATCTAAATATTGCTTATATCTTACTCGTTCTCATAGTCATTTTCAAAGGGTATCATTCAATTTAAGAGAAATAAGGCACAAGGAAAGCCAAAGCAGACTGAAATTAAATTATATTGTGTCGAGGCATGTTAACCAATGGACAGCAGAGGGTTTGCATAAATGAGAAATCAGAACAGGGATCCTTAAACAGTGGAACGAACTCCTGGGTCATGACACCGAAGTGAGAACTTGGGTAGCTTTAAATATAGGTTGGACAGGTACATGAGCAGGTGTGGTTGGGTGTGACATGGCTCTGTCTAGCATGGTCTTATAGGCCTTCTTGTGTTTTATGTTAGGCTTTAGTCCCACTCAATAGAGGGTCCTTGATGGTGGTGAGGAGCTCTTGTTATAGGGAATTGGATCTGTGCTCCAGTTCCCTGAATTGAGTCAGAATACCTTTTTTCTCCCCCCCCCCACCACAGGTGCTGTATAATCCCTATGGTTTTAGTGCTTCCCCCATGATTATAATAATAATAGGCTATAGTTACTGACAACTGCAACATTATTTTGCATTTCTAGATGCCTAAATGGATTAATTTACTCTGAATTTCCTAAAGTAACAATTTGCACAAGAAAAGAGTACTTATTCTATAATATGCAGAGGTTGTATGTATTAAAAAGTAAAAAGAAATGACCTAAGTTTTACTATGTGTTTACTACCATGTTCTTATTTCACTGGCAGCTGCTTGCTCAAATGTAAATACAGTGGAACCTTGAGTTTCACCTGTAATCCGTCCCAGAAGCTCAGCCGAAACTCAAATTGTTCGAAAGTCAAAGCAATATTTCCCTTAAGAAATAATGTAAATCCAATTAATCCATTCCAGGCTAAAGCTCCCGCTTCACACACGGAGGGCCCGGGTTCGATTCCCGGCGGGTGGAAATTCCGACACGTTTCCTTACACCTATTGTCCTGTTCACCTAGCAGCAAATAGGTACCTGGGTGTTAGTCGACTAGTGTGGGTCGCATCCTGGGGGACAAGATTAAGGACCCCAATGGAAATAAGTTAGACAGTCCTCGATGACGCACTGACTTTCTTGGGTTATCCTGGGTGGCTAACCCTCCGGGGTTAAAAATCCGAACGAAATCTTATCTTATCTTAAAAAAAAAAATACATTTTATAAAGAATAATTGTAGTTTTACAAACACAAAACAATTATAAATACATATAGTACTTAAATGACTAATGAAATACATAAATAAATATTTAAAATCGTATTTACATACCTTTACTGAAAACTTGTTGAGTTATGGAAGACAGGAGAGGAGGAGGACTTTATTATTGTTTGGAAGGGGAATCCCCTTCCATAAAGACTAGGTAACAAGTCCTAATCTGGGGTTACTTTCTTTGTTTTTTAATGTCACTAGAACCACCTTGAGTCACTGGACCCCTGTCGCTCAAAAAAACTGCCCAGAGAGGTCTGTTTCTGGCATCTTTAGCATTTGTCTGAAATGGGACGTGGTTTTGTCACTGAACATGTTGCAGTGATAGCTTGTTTCAGCTTGCTCAGGGTAATATTTCTCAGCAAAAACTTGCACCCTACTCCACATTGCACATGTCTTCTAAATCTCTGAAGAAGGCACCTCCTTCCTTCCCTCCTCCTCTGAAGCAAGTTCCTCAGCTGTGGTTTGTTGCTTTTCCAGATGAAGCTCTTGCTGCTCTTCAGTGGTTAGCTCTTCATTATGGTCTTCCTCCAACTCTTCCACATCCTGGCCACTCATCCAACCCCAAGGAATTCCCCAATGCCACAATACATTCCACACCATGCATAGGTTGACAGGGTCAACCTCATACTCTTCAGAATCCTTCTTTTGGACACATTCTGGCCAAAATTTTCTCCAAAGCAGAGTTCAGAGTCCTGGAAGTCACTTCCTGTCAAGCGTTTCTTATAAGGCTTATGCAGCTGTAGATATTGAAGTGATTCCTAAAGAACACTCTTAGGGTCAGTTCAGTGTCTGAGGTCACTTCAAAGTACCTTTGAAACAGTGCTTTTGTGTAGAGTTTTTTGAAGTTTGAAATGACCTGCTGGTCCATGGGCTGTATGACAGGAGTGGTGTTAGGAGGCAAGAACTTCACTGTTATAAAACTGAAATCCCTAGACAATTGGTCTACCAAGTTTGGAGGATGAGCAGGAGCATTGTCCAGTACCAGGAGGCACTTGAGTGGCAATTTATTTTCCTGGAGGTATTTTTTTCACACACTGGCCAAACTTTTCATGGACCCAGTCGATGAAAATTTGCCTTGTGACCCATGCCTTATTGTTAGCCCTCTACATCACACACAGTCTACTCTTGACGATGTTGTTTTTCTTGAAAACACTGGGATTTTCAGAGTGGTACACCCATAAATGCTTCACTTTGAAATCCCAACTAGCATTACCACAGAACAAGAGAATTAGCCTGTCTTTCATTGGCTTGTGTCCTGGCAGTGCCTTTTCCTCCTGCGTGATGTAGGTCCTCTTTGGCATTTTCTTCCAAGAGAGGCCTATTTCGTCACAACTGAGCACTTGTTCGGGGATGAATCCTTCTTCCTCAACATAGTCCTTTAATTCATGCACAAATTTTTCAGCGGCATGTTTGTCTGAACTTCCAGCCTCGCCATGCCTTGCAACACTGTGTATACCACTACGCATCTTGAAGTTGTCAAACCAGCCTCTGCTGGGCTTAAATTCACTAACAACAACACTCGTTCAAGGCATTTTCTGTACAAGATCCGAGTGCAACTGCCTCGCCTTTTCACAAATGATTGTCTCCGAAACACTCACTAATTGTTCATCGTTGATCCACACCAACAACAACTTCTCAACATCTTCGATTGTCTGTGATCTATTTTTCATTAGCATATCTACCCCTGTCGTAACATCAGCTTCCTTGATTTCTTTTATTCTTCGCCAGGATGGAACTGATGGTTGATTTGTTTTTGCTATACACCCTGGCAAGCTTCAGCATGCGCATACCACTTTCATATTTTTCGATAATCTCTCTCTTCAATTCTATTATGTTTCTCGCCTTCTTTACCACAGGGCAGGCACTAGAAAGTTTCTTTGGGCCCATGGTTAATTATGTAGCAGTCTCGCTCAATCAACAAAAAAAAAAAAAGGATTATTGTGAATTGTTTGGATGAACTCGCAGGGTAATGTTCACACTCGAGGAGAAGCAAAGCCAGACTGACTCTCAACACGTGTGAGAGGCTTTGCGTGGGTGCGCGTGGGAGGCTTTGTGTGCGTGTAGGCGGACAGGTCTTGTATAACAGCCGCAACTCAAGTTACTGTTTGAAACTCGAGACAAAATTCAGCCGAAAAAAGTGACCAAAACTCGAAAAGGCCAAAACTTGGGCCAGCCGAAACTCCTATAAGGTGGTTACTACCCCACTGCCATGTTTGTAAATAGGCTTTTAACACTATCTGGCTGTTGGCCACATACTTTTTCCTTCCATTTGTGACATACCTTGAGTTCATCTTGTATACCTTTTGGAGTAACTTGATGTTTTGTATATTTGTTAGATTTTTTTAAATGTTTTAGCATAGTTCACTAAAATTCTACTGCACTTTTCCTTAACCCAGTCTTCAGAACCTTATCTTTAGGTACCTGCAGTCCCGAGCCAGAGTACAGGTTTGCTAGAAACAAAATTGTAGCATTGGTTCATGATTAGAACTATCTGATGAATACACAGACTCGAAAATTTAAGGTATATAGTCTCCGAAGGCCAAGCAGTTACAGTTGGCTTCAGAACCTATGTTAGGATATCGGGCTTATTGGACTGATTACAATTGCAATTAATGCCCTGCGAAGCCAAGGCAGAAGGATGTACTTCTTAGAAATGAAATCAGGAAAACTATTGGTAAGTTGTAGATAATATAGTTCTATCACGTTAATGGTAATACGTACAAAGCAGTGTTACAGTATACTATTCATTATCCAAGAAAGTCACCAAATTTTTGTCACTGAACATGCTAGTTGTTCAGAGAATATGCACGGGTGACTTTTCATATTCTATGTAAGTAGAAACATGTTTATTACCAGCCTAGATGAGGTGCATTAATTTATAAATAAATATTTAAAAATATATATGTATATATATATAGTATATGTATACATATATATAAGAAGGTTTTACAAAGTAGAAATGATGCAAGGAGGGAAGAGTATATGGAGAAAAAGAGAGAGGTTAAGAGAGTGGTGAAGCAATGTAAAAATAGAGCAAATGAGAGAGGGGGTGAGATGTTATCAACAAATTTTGTTGAAAATAAGAAAAAGTTTTGGAGTGAGATTAACAAGTTAAGGAAGCCTAGAGAACAAATGGATTTGTCAGTTAAAAGTAGGAGAGGAGAGTTATTAAATGGAGAGTTAGAGGTATTGGGAAGATGGAGGGAATATTTTGAGGAATTGTTAAATATTGATGAAGATAGGGAAGCTGTGATTTCGTGTATAGGGCAAGGAGGGATAACATCTTGTAGGAGTGAGGAAGAGCCAGTTGTGAGTGTGGGGGGAAGTTTGTGAGGCAGTAGGTAAAATGAAAGGGGGTAAGGCAGCTGGGATTGATGGGATCAAGATAGAAATGTTAAAAGCAGGTGGGGATATAGTTTTGGAGTGGTTGGTGCTATTATTTAATAAATGTATGGAAGAGGGTAAGGTACCTAGGGATTGGCAGAGAGCATGCATAGTTCCTTTGTATAAAGGCAAAGGGGACAAAAGAGAGTGCAAAAATTATAGGGGGATAAGTCTGTTGTATAGAAGAGAGGGAGACTACTTCCCGGTAAAAGTAGGTCTTAGACAGGGATGTGTAATGTCACCATGGTTGTTTAATATATTTATAGATGGGGTTGTAAAAGAAGTAAATGCTAGGGTGTTCGGGAGAGGGGTGGGATTAAATTATGGGGAATCAAATTCAAAATGGGAATTGACACAGTTACTTTTTGCTGATGATACTGTGCTTATGGGAGATTCTAAAGAAAAATTGCAAAGGTTAGTGGATGAGTTTGGGAATGTGTGTAAAGGTAGAAAGTTGAAAGTGAACATAGAAAAGAGTAAGGTGATGAGGGTATCAAATGATTTAGATAAAGAAAAATTGGATATCAAATTGGGGAGGAGGAGTATGGAAGAAGTGAATGTTTTCAGATACTTGGGAGTTGACGTGTCGGCGGATGGATTTATGAAGGATGAGGTTAATCATAGAATTGATGAGGGAAAAAAGGTGAGGGGTGCGTTGAGGTATATGTGGAGTCAAAAAGCGTTGTCTATGGAGGCAAAGAAGGGAATGTATGAAAGTATAGTAGTACCAACACTCTTAAATGGGTGTGAAGCTTGGATGGTAAATGCAGCAGCGAGGAGATGGTTGGAGGCAGTGGAGATGTCCTGTCTAAGGGCAATGTGTGGTGTAAATATTATGCAGAAAATTCGGAGTGTGGAAATTAGGAAAAGGTGTGGAGTTAATAAAAGTATTAGTTAAGAGGGCAGAAGAGGGGTTGTTGAGGTGGTTTGGTCATTCAGAGAGAATGGATCAAAGTAGAATGACATGGAAAGCATATAAATCTATAGGGGAAGGAAGGCGGGGTAGGGTCGTCCTCGAAAGGGTTGGAGAGAGGGGGCAAAGGAGGTTTTGTGGGCGAGGGGCTTGGACTTCCAGCAAGTGTGCGTGAGCGTGTTAGGTAGGAGTGAATGGAGACGAATGGTACTTGGGACCTGACGATCTGTTGGAGTGTGAGCAGGGTAATATTTAGTGAAGGGATTCAGGGAAACCGGTTATTTTCATATAGTCGGACTTGAGTCCTGGAAATGGGAAGTACAATGCCTGCACTTTAAAGGAAGGGTTTGGGATATTGGCAGTTTGGAGGGATATGTTGTGTATCTTCACACGTATATGCTTCTAAACTGTTGTATTCTGAGCACCTCTGCAAAAACAGTGATAATGTGTGAGTGTGGTGAAAGTGTTGATTGATGATGAAAGTATTTTCTTTTTGGGGATTTTTTTCTGTTTTGGGTCGCCCTGCCTCGGTGGGAGACGGCCAACTTGTTGAAAAAAAAAAAAAAATCTGTTGAGTATACCTGGTAAAGTGTATGGTAGTTATTATTGAAAGAATTAAGAGTAAGACAGAGAATAGGATAGCTGAACAGGGAGGCTTTAGGAAAGGTATGGGGTGTGTGGACCAGGTGTTTACAGTGAAACGTATAAGTGAACAGTATTTAGATAAGGCTAAAGAGGTTTTTGTGGCATTTATGGATTTGGAAAAGGCGTATGACAGGGTGGATAGGGGGGCAATGTGGCAGATGTTGCAGGTATATGGTATAGGAGGTAGGTTACTGAAAGCAGTAATAGGAGGATAGTGAGGCTCAAGTTGGAGTATGTAGGAAAGGGAGATTATTTCCCAGTAAAAGTAGGTCTTAGACAAGGATGTGTGATGTCACCGAACGAACGAACGAACAAGTGCAGGTAAGATCACAATGGGATGAGCGGGAAAGACGGGACAGACGAAGAATAGCGCTAGAGAGGAGTGTTCTTAGTCGTAGAAATAGAGCCAGGGCTTGACCCAGCAGCTAAGGCAATCGTGGGACAGACTTGGAGAAAAAACGGGAAGAGAGCAAGCTGTGTATGCAACAGTCGTGGTAGGTGAGGTCTTTGAGTCTTGAGAGCTGGAAGTTTCCAGGTTGCAGGAGAGGGCAGGCAGGTAGGACCATCAGAGGGCAGCAGACATGTGGGAGGTTATTTTAGTAGTTGAGGCAGGTTTGCAGTGGAGCCATTTGCAAACTTCTTGAAGCTGCTCCTGGAGAGGTGGTATAGCGGTCTTGTTGGAAAAAGTGAAACGAAGAGGCTTGATGAACTCAAGAACTTGCGTGAGTGTGAAGTGAAGAGGTGATTCGCAGGCATACTTGACTGTTCCATCACCAAGGCCTTTGTAGAGTTCAGAGCAGGTCATGGTGTCAGTATTCGAGGGAGAGGTGTAGGAAGTAAGGTTTTCCCAAGAGGGTGTGCTGGAGTCGTTGCTATCTGCTTCGTCGGGGGATTTGTCAGAAAATTCTTGTTCAATTGTTTCTACAGTGATTGTGTCGAGGAGGCTGGGAGTCTAGAGTATTTGCGGTCTGGCTGGTTGTTGGTGGTTGTTGAGAAGTGGTAGTGGTCACTGGGGGCGGTTCAGGAGTGTGAGTGTTTTTTGGGGCAGAGTCAGGATTTGAACCTGAAGTTGATGTGAAGTTAGCGATGTTTGGGATAATCTTGAAGTCCTGCGATGTTGGCGAGTCAGGAAAGTTGAATGACGGCATGTTGTTAAGATGGAATAGTTCGTTAATTGTAGTGTTGAATGTGCCTGGGTTTGCTGCAGTTGCAAGGTGTGCATACATCATGCAGTACAACACCTTAGCGGGAGCAGCATTAGGGAGTGCAGAAAGGGAATTGCTGGATAGAGATGACTGCTGTGTGGCTTGTAGAATTCTGGTGGTGTCCGACTGGAGTTTTGAAATGGCGGCATATGTCGACGATTTGGGACTATTCTTCTTGGTTTCTTCTTTAATTTTTTCGACATTACTTCTTTTCATAGTGGGCATTTAGCTGCAAGGGTATGATGAGTACCCTTGCAGTTAAGACATGTTGGAGTGGCATTGGTGGTGGTGCAGGCTTTGAAGTCATGACCTTTTCCACAGGTAGAACAGAACTTTTTGTCTTTAATGGTTGAATGTTGATAAGAGTAACAGTTCCAACAGGGAGAGACATGGGCAAAGCGTTCAGGTTCAATCTGGCGTGGATGTATGTGGTAATATGAGATAGCTAGTCCATTAGAGAGCGCTTGGGTAGCCATATCTATGTTTGAAAAGGTGATTTTGATCTTAGATGAGGCATTGGGAATTCGTGTGATGGTGTCTACAGAGGCCCAGGTGTTTTGGTCTTCGATAGAGGTCTTCAGTTCATCCGTTGGTATGGATGTGATTATCTTATCCAATTGTTTAACAAAAACTGAACGTTTCGCCAGCAAGGAGGGAGACGGTGATATGATGAATTGTCGGTCTCGTAATGTATTCATTGCAGTGTCGTCCATAAGTTTAGCTGCTTCATTGTTGTCGGTGCAGACGACAATAAAGGAGTCCTTGAGCGAGTGGATCGCTGTGAATTTGAGATGTAGGCAGGTCCTTATAGCGGCAGCAAATAATAGTTCAGTGGAATCATTTATAACACCACTGGCTGGTTTGATTTTAACACGATGTGCGAACATTGTCAAACAGGTAGAGGTTCCCCTCCCCAACGGGAATCGTAGGGAGAGCAAGAAAGAACGTGGTTGTTCAACATATTTATAAATGGGGTTGTAAGAGAAGTAAATGCAAGGGGTCTTGGCAAGAGGCGTGGAGTTAAGATAAAGAATCACATATAAGTAGGAGTTGTCACAGTTGCTCTTTGCTGATGACACTGTGCTCTTTGGAGGTTCTGAAGAGAAGTTGCAGAGGTTGGTGGATGAATTTGGTAGGGTATGTAAAAGAAGAAAATTAAAAGTGAATATAGGAAAGAGTAAGGTTATGAGGATAAAAAGATTAAGTGATGAAAGATTGGATATCAGATTGGAGGGAGAGAGTATGGAGGAGGTGAATGTATTCAGATATTTGGGAGTGGACATGTCAGCGGATGGGTCTATGAAAGATGAGGTGAATCATAGAATTGATGAGGGGAAAAGGGTGAGCGGTGCACTTAGGAGTCTGTGGAGACAAAGAACTTTGTCCTTGGAAGCAAAGAGGGGAATGTATGAGAGTATAGTTTTACCAGTGCTCTTATATGGGTGTGAAGCATGGGTGATGAATGTTGCAGCAAGGAGAAGGCTGGAGGCAGTGGAGATGTCATGTCTGAGGGCACTGTGTGGTGTGAATATAATGCAGAGAATTTGTAGTTTGGAAGTTAGGAGGAGGTGCGGGATTGCCAAAACTTGTCCAGAGGGCTGAGGAAGGGTTGTTGAGGTGGTTCGGATATGTAGAGAGAATGGAGTGAAACAGAATGACTTCAAGAGTGTATTAGTCTGTAGTGGAAGGAAGGCGGGGTAGGGGTCGGCCTAGGAAAGGTTGGAGGGAGGGGGTAAAGGAGGTTTTGTGTGCGAGGGGCTTGGACTTCCAGTGGGCATGCGTGAGCATGTTGATAGGAGTGAATGGAGACAAATGGTTTTTAATACTTGACGTGCTGTTGGAGTGTGAGCAAAGTAACATTTATGAAGAGATTCAGGGAAACCGGCAGGCCAGACTTGAGTCCTGGAGATGGGAAGTACAGTGCCTGCACTCTGAAGGAGGGGTGTTAATGTTGCAGTTTAAAAACTGTAGTGTAAAGCACCCTTCTGGCAAGACAGTGATGGAGTGAATGATGGTGAAAGCTTTTCTTTTTCGGGCCACCCTGCCTTGGTGGGAATCGGCCAGTGTGTTAATAATAATAATAATATCAATCACTCATTGAACATTAGCTATAATGTATTCAGTAAAATAGTAAATTTGTTTGGATATCATAACTATAATTAATGTGTCCAAACACCTTAATGAGAGTTAAATTTTATTTTTAATTAAAATTTTCCTTCATAGCATGCCAAATTTTGGACTGATTTTACTGTGTGATTTACTTGTTTGCCATTGTGCGACAGACTAGCTTTAATAAGGTTAAACCGAGAATACATCCACATGTACTAAGTCGTACAAGATTTTTTTTTTTTTTCCAAATTTGCCATCTTCCAGCAAGGTACATTGAATCAAAAGAAACACATTCATAATTTATTTAATCTTTCTTAGCAGAAGTGCATGGATATGACAGTTCAGATGACCGTTTAAACTGCAGCATCTCTGTGCATGCACTGTACTAGAACCCTTTCACAAATGTTACCATGCCTTCACTCTAGCACCACATAAAGCCCCTAAAACCAACTTGTTTCACTCCATTATGTTCCGCTGAAATGAAAAAATTTGTGCCGAGTTTCGAAGTTCTTGGGGTTCACTTAGACCTCAAACTTTCACCCTCTTAAGATGGGAATTCCAGTTTTCTCTCCTGTGAAAATGTTAAGAGCAACCAGAATTGCTCTTTTGGGCAAGAGTAATGAGAGTTGAAAAATATATAAATCTATAGTGAAGGGAAGGCAGTGTAGGGGTTGTCCTAGGAAAGGTTGGAGATGGGGGGGGGGGGGTAAAGGAGGTTTTGTATGCAAGGGGCTTAAAAATCCAACAGGCTGTGAGTGTGTTAAATAGGAATGAGTGGAGGCAAGTGGTTTTTATGACTTTACAAACTGTTGGAGTGTGAGCAGGGCAAAATTTATGAAGAGATTTAGGGAAACCACTTAGATGGACTTCTGTCCTGGAAGTGAGAAGTACAATGCCTGCACTTTTAAGGAGGGGTGAGGACAGTGGGAGATGGCCAGTGTTACAAAAAATTGTGCAGCTTTATTATTGGAATGTTTCATTATAACACTTCATATGTACAAATGTAAAGATGTCTTTTAGCCAACAGAAAACATTTTTATAAATCAGTAAAGTTAGTTTATTTTATTTCAGGTCGCATTCTGTTGAAGGGCGATAATATCACACTGATCCAGAATACTCAACCAGATGGCACGAACATGTAGTACATGGATATGTCGACATCGAGATTTATTGACTGCTGTGAAGGCAGTTCAGATCTCAGGTCAACCAGTCGTGAGGCAGTTCTATCATAAGGCACTGAATCGAAAGGAGTACAGTGCAAGTTTCATTGATTGGATATGTGCTTAATTTCCCATAATTATATCTAGTTTAAATTTTTATCATTCTCAGAATTTTATGAATAGAGGAATTTCAATTTTACATTGTGCTAGTTTATACATAATGCTATGTGTTAAAACAGGAATCTTATACTTGGGGGGGGAAGACAGGTCTGGTCTGTCTAATGAAATTTAAGTGTTATTAATTTTACTTTTATATGTAAAGTATATTCTTCACTAGGTAAAATATTCCAATTTGTGAGGCCATACATAGTCCTTTTTTTTTTTAATATTAGGTGTAAAGTGAGTTTTGTAATAAAAATATAAAAGTATGCCATCTATTAGTCTTAATTATATGGTGTTTCTATATTGTAATGCTTATTAAGCATTTGTTACAAGTATGCTGTTTGATGCATGTTTAATTACTGAGTATCCCTTTGTGGGAAAATGGGTCATGGTGTTGAAGGGTTCTTGATCAAAGGAATTTGAGGTACCCTTTGATGAATCAGTTTTTATTTTTTTTTTAACATCCTCATAAGTATAATAATTTTGACTGCCCCCAAAAAAATCCCCCAAATTAAGCCTCTTGAATATCTAATGAATATGCCAGAAAGAGGAGCTGCAAAAATGGAATATACCTGGCTTCCATAATTTAATAGAAAAGTACATAGCGGTGTTGAATGAGCATAATTATAAGGTAATTGAGTATAATTATAAGACATTTTTAGGGTTGAAATAGTTTTAAAAATGCAGTATTAGAATGGGCAGAAGTTTGTGGTTTTAGGAGGGTGGGTGCAGGAGGAAAGGAGTGATTGGTGGAATGATGAAGTAAAGGGTGTGATAGGAGAAAAAGGTAGCTTATGAGAAGTATTTACAAAGCAGAAGTGTTATAAGAAGAGTAGAATATATGGAGAGTAAAAGAAAGGTGAAGAGAGTGGTGAGAGAGTGCAAAAGGAGAGCAGATGATAAAGTGGGAGAGGCACTGTCAAGAAATTTTAATGAAAATAAGAAAAATTTTTGGAGCGAGTTAAACAAGTTAAGAAAGCCTAGGGAACAAATGGATTTGTCAATAAAAGCAGAGTAGGGAAGTTAGTAGATGGGGAGATGGAGGTATTGGGTAGATGGCGAGAATATTTTGAGGAACTTCTAAATGTCGACGAAGAAAGGGAGGCGGTAATTTCATGCACTGGCCAGGGAGGTATACCATCTTTTAAGAGTGAAGAAGAGCAGGATGTGAGTGTGGGGGAGGTGTGTGAGGCATTACGTAAAATGAAAGGGGGTAAAGCAGCTGGAACTGATGGGATCATGACAAATGTTAAAAGCAGGGGGGGACATAGTGTTGGAGTGGTTGGTATTTTTGTTTAATAAATGTATGAAAGAGGGGAAGGTACTTAGGATTGGCAGAGAGTGTGTATAGTCCCTTTATATAAAGGGAAGGGGGACAAAAAAGATTGTAAAAATGATAGAGGAATAAGTTTACTGAGTATACCAGGAAAAGGGTACGGTAGGGTTATTATTGAAAGAATTAGAGGTAAGACAGAATATAGAATTGCGGATGAGCAAGGAGGTTTTAGAGTGGGTAGGGGATGTGTAGATCAAGTGTTTACATTGAAACATATATGTGAGCAGTATTTAGATAAAGGTAGGGAAGTTTTTATTGCATTTATGGATTTAGAAAAGGCATATGATAGTGGATAGGGGAGCAATGTGGCAGATGTTGCAAGTATATGGAATAGGTGGTAAGTTACTAAATGCTGTAAAGAGCTTTTATGAGGATAGTGAGGCTCAGGTTAGGGTGTGTAGAAGAGAGGGAGACTACTTCCCGGTAAAAGTAGGTCTTAGACAGGGATGTGTAATGTCACCATGGTTGTTTAATATATTTATAGACAGGGTTGTAAAAGAAGTAAATGTTGGGGTGTTTGGGAGAGGAGTGGGATTAAATTATGGGGAATTAAATACAAAATGGGAAGTGACAGTTACTTTTTGCTGGTGATACTGTGCTTATGGGAGATTCTAAAGAAAAATTGCAAAGGTTAGTGGACGAATTTGGGAGTGTGTGTAAAGGTAGAAAGTTGAAAGTGAACAAAGAAAAGAGTAAGGTGATGAGAGTATCAATTGATTTAGATAAAGAAAAATTGGATATCAAATTGGGGAGGAGGAGTATGGAAGAAGTGAATGTTTTCAGATATTTGGGAGTTGACGTATCAGCGGATGGATTTATGAAGGATGAATTGATGAAGGAAAAAAGGTGAGTGGTGCATTGAGGTATATGTGGAGGCAAAAAATGTTATCTATGGAGGCAAAGAAGGGAATGTATGAAAGTATAGTAGTACCAACACACTTATATGGGTGTGAAGCTTGGGTTGTAAATGCTGCAGTGAGGAGGCAGTTGGAGGCAGTGGAGATGTCCTAAGGGCAATATGTGGTGTAAATATTATGGAGAAAATTCGGAGTGTGGAAATTAGGAGAAGGTGTGGAGTTAATAAAAGTATTAGTCAGAGGGCTGAAGAGGGTTTGTTGAGGTGGTTTGGTCATTTAGAGAGAATGGATCAAAGTAGAATGACATGGAGAGCGTATAAATCTGTAGGAGAAGGAAGGCGGGTTAGGGGTCGTCCTCGAAAAGGTTGGAGGGAGGGGGTAGAGGAGGAGGTGTGGGTGAGGGGTTTGGACTTCCAGCAAGCGTGCACGAGCGTGTTAGATAGTGAATGGAGACAAATGGTATTTGGGACCTGACGAGCTGTTGGAGTGTGAGCAGGGTAATATTTAGTGAAGGGATTCAGGGAAACCGGTTATTTTACATAACCGGACTTGAGTCCTGGAAATGGGAAGTACAATGCTTGCACTCTAAAGGAGGGGTTTGGGATATTGGCAGTTTGGAGGGATATATTGTGTATTTTTATACGTATATACTTCTAAACTGTTGTATTCTGGGCACCTCTGCAAAAACAGTGATTATATGTGAATGAGGTGAAAGTGTTGAATGATGATGAAAGTATTTTCTTTTTGGGGATTTTCTTTCTTTTTGGGTCACCCTGCCTCGGTGGGAGACGGCCGACTTGTTGAAAAAAAAAAAATCAATATAAAGTACATCTTATCATACACCAGAAAAAACAAGCTGTCTTTGTGTTTGGCTCCAAATTTTCACTTAAGTGGAAAACGAGGGTTTATACACATCCTGTATAAGAGGCAACTGCCTCATCTTTGCCAGACTGACACTGTTCATATTGTCTGGTATCTTGTTTGTGTTGATGACCATGATCCTTCCACTTATGGAATTATTAAGTTTGTAAGTATGTACTTTATTAATCACCATCCCCATTTATTGCACCCTTTTCCTCTCTATTCAAGCCCTAAATATGTACATCCCTTTATTTACCACCCGTTTTGTCCGTACCTTTTACTTTTCCTTCCCTTCTCTCGAAGTTGGGATGATTAAAGTTTGCTCCTCCCCACTTCCGTGCCCAAACACTCATTGCCTGCTGCATCTTACTCACTCTTGAACACTTGGTCATGTTCTCATGCTATGGTTGTGTGCTCTGATGGCTCTGAATAATTAGATGGTGTTGGGTATGCAGCTGTTTTTCCAGAAATAATCATCTTGGGACATTTATTAGTGCTGGCCAGTATTTAGCAGAGTTGTAAGCTACTTTCAGCACTGTCATACACATTGCAACCATGCCAGCCTCGTCATTTGTTCCCGTCTTGCACAGTGCCTTCAGGGTAGCCAAAAATTAGATTCCTCATCCTTCATATACAAACTTGGTTGTGTCACATTTCTAGTAAACAAAAGTTTTATGCAGGGAACCTGGACACATTTACGTTCAGGGCATTGAACAGGTAGACAAGGTTGCTGAATTGGCTATTCATGACCTACTCTACCAAATTTTCAGAAGGGTATTCCTTTCTGGAATATTTTTCAGTGCTCTCTCAAATAATTCTGCAACTGCTTACAACAATGTTAATTTGAATTGGACCACAAGAAGCTGTTTTCTGTCAAACCATGTTGGGGATTCTGGCCATCTTTCCACATATCAGGTTTGGGAGACTGCACTTTCATGCTGATTCATGAGATACACAACTCATTTTCTGCCACATGAAAAGTGACCAACATTGCTCTGCAAGGACTGCCATGTCACATTGTCAGTCCACCTGGAGTGGAAGAATGCAGTAGTCCTACCTCTTTGAAGGCCACATACTTTGGGCTACTGTTACAAGACATAATAGAACCATTGTTCTTATTAAGAGCTGTTAGTATGTTGCTAACCCCTTTTTTAATGAACATATGGTACAGTTATTTTCATATAGTCGGACTTGAGTCCTGGAAATGGTAAGTACAATGCCTGCACTTTAAAGGAGGGGTTTGGGATATTGGCAGTTTGGAGGGATATGTTGTGTATCTTTATATGTATATGCTTCTAAACTGTTGTATTCTGAGCACCTGCAAAAACAGTGATTATATGTGAGTGTGGTGAAAGTGTTGAATGATAATGAAAGCATTTTCTTTTTGGGGATTTTCTTTCTTTTTTGGGTCACCCTGCCTCGGTGGGAGATGGCCGACTTGTTGAAAAAAAAAAAATATGGTACAGTACTTTAAAACCCAAAATCCCCCTTTCTGTTTTGTTTTAGAAAATGCTGTTCTGCCTTACAGTAAGGTCTTTAATGTGTTTGCTGATAACCAGTCGGTTATTGCAAGTTTTCTCTTTTGGGTTTAGTGCTTAAATTGATCTAAAAGAGTTTGACATTACATGGCATTGCAACATTGTCCCATATTTTGTTTAACCAGCCATTTCCTACCCAGATAGCTGATTCGAGGTGTGCCCCATTCCTTCAAAAAGATGGGGTGTACCTTTATGTTGATGGGTTCTTGATCTAAGCCCTTTGAGGGAGGCTCCTGAATATTGGCAATATCCTCCTGATATAAGGAATTGGATCTGCTCTTCCTTACCCTGGATAGAACCTAATTTCCTCTTATTTCCTTTGGTGTTGTATGACCCTTACAGGTTTAGCACTTCCTCTATATATAGTCATCTTGATCTAAGGAATCTGACCTGACTTCCCTTGGGTCAAATCCAGTTATGTCCCATTCTCAGTTGCTGCATGACCATTATGGGTTCAGCACTCACGGTGAATATAACCCTTGGAGATGCCATAATACAAGTGAAGAACTCATGAATCCAAAGACTGGAACTCCCCTCTCTTTCCTTGGCTGTAATCTGATTGCCTCCCTTTATCCTGTCACTGTAGGTTTCCTGTGGATTTGACACTTGCGCCCTCCTCCCCCATGAATGTAATTATCTTATAAACTGTCAAGTGGTTCTCCATTGTTATGATAACACTTCTTTATCGAATGGATTTGTAGGAACAATCTGAGGACATGCTAAGTTTAGAACTTGTATAATATTTATATGTATGTGTATAAGTGTGTGTATATATATATATATATATATATATATATATAATATATATATATTATATATTATATAATATATATATATATATATATATATATATATATATATATTATAATATTAAGAAAAGTTGCAAAGGTTAGTGGATGAGTTTGAGAGGGTGTGTAAAGGTAGACAGTTGAAAGTGAACATAGATAAGAGTAAGGTGACAAGAGTATCAAACGATTTAGATAAAGAAAAATTGGATATCACATCGGAGGGAGGGAGTATGAAAGAAGTGAATGTTTTCAGATATCTGGGAGTTGATTTGTCAGTGGATGGGTTTATGAAGGATGAGGTTGACCATAGAATTGATGAAGGAAGAAAGGCAAGTGGTCCATTGGGGTATCTGTGGAAACAAAAAACATTACCCATGGAGGCAAAGAAAGGAATGCACGAGAGTATAGTGGTACCAACACTTATATGGGTGTGAAGCATAGGTTGTAAATGCTGCATCAGGGAGGCAGCTGGAGGGTGTGGAGATGTCACGTCTAAGGGGAATGTGTAAATATGCAGAGAATTCGGAGTGTGGAAATTGGAGGTGGTGTGGAGTTAATAAAAGTATTAGAGGGCTGAAGAGAGGTTGTTGAAGTGGTTTGGTCATTTAGAGAGAATGGATCAAGTGGAATGACTTGGAGAGCTTATAAATCTGTAGGGAAAGGAAAGTGGGGTAGGGGTTGTCCTTAGAAAGGTTGGAGGGAGGGGGTAAAGGAGGTTTTGTGGGCAAGGGGCTTGGACTTTCAGCAAGTGTGTTAGTGTTGAATGATGAAAGTTTTTTCTTTCTGGGTCACCCTGCCTCGGTGGGAGATGGCCGACTTATTAAAAAAAAAAATATATACATGTACACAATAGTACCCCCATATCTGCAAGGGATACATTCCAAGGCCTACCGTGGATACCCAGAACCGTTACTATCATTGGTTTTGGGTATCCACATACATACCTATGATAAATTTTAATTGATAAACTATACACTAAGTCAAGAATTAGCACTTTTTCACTGATAGGAAGCACTTCACAGTTTCTTTTAGGGTTTGAAGAACTGCCAGCATCACTACTACTGCATGTTAGGACCGTTATTAAGCCAAATTACGGATTATTTTGGGGCCATGGTAAACTGCAGATGACCGAAACCACTGAAAGCGGACCCGTGGATTAGGGGGTCCTACTGTATGTATAATTGTTTAATGATCCACATGGGTTTAGTGCATATTTTAAATATTATCCTAATGGCATTGCGCTTGAATCCTAATGTATTATTATTCATGGGAGATCACATACAAATATATTTTGCCCAAATTATGACACCTTTCCATGCATATCATTCCCTTCAAGCAAGGTGCCTTGATCTAAGGAATCAGACATGCCTTTCCTGGGATCAAACTCGATTGAGGATATTTGCACAGGTGTATTTCTCCTTATTTGATGGTTGAAAGTATTCTTGTCTGGTGATGGAAAAAGTGACCGTGCAACCTTAATGACCTTAGTGGAGTTTACCTGGAGAGAGTTCCGGGGGTCAACGCCCCCGCGACCTAGTCTGTGACCAGGCCTCCTGGTGGATCAGAGCCTGATCAACCAAGCTGTTACTGCTGGCTGCACGCAATCCAATGTACGAGCCACAGCCCGGCTGGTCAGGTACCGACTTTAGGTGCTTGTCCTATCCTATTAATTAACCATTGAGCCTAGTTGCTTCCCATATCCCCATGTGCTGTATGTCTACTATGCATTTAGTGCTTCCCCCATCATAGTAGTAATAATTCTCCACGAATATAATCAGCAGCTGTGCTGGGACCGGTTGAATACCGTGATGGGTCACTTCAACAAACAACAGGCTATTGCAGGAGCATTGATTCTAAACAGGCATTGTATGACCCCTGTAGAACTAATGCTCTCCTGTGAGTGTGCCAAATTACTGGCTTAACTCGATCCAAGTTGGAAGCATTGCAGTTGGTAACCATGTCCTAAAAAGCCGCATTTAGTGTTGAATCGATCTTTCAGGTACGAGAGCACTATAAAACTGGCAATAAGTATTTTGTAATCCCCACATGGAACGTTCCTTGATGCTTGTGTGGTCTTTTAATTCAAGGAGTGCTGTATGACCCTTGTGGGTTTAGTGCTTAGTTTTAATTAAAATAATTCAAGGAACTATTTGGCCTCCCTTAGGTCAAAACACCTCAAAGAATTCCTGTCTGAGGAATTGTACCTGGCCTCTTCCTTGAGTTGGACTTGAGTGTCTCCAATTTTCCAGGTGCTGTATGACTCGTTTTAGTGCTTCCTCCCATTAATGAGATTTTCCTTTGAGGGGGGGGCTTCATTCCTTGATGCTGGTGAGGGGCTCTTGATCTAGGGAAATGGATCTGTTCCAGTTCCCTGAATTGAACCTGAACTCCTTCAAACGGACGCTGTATAATCCCTATGGGTTAAGCGCTCCCCCATGATAAATTCATTTCTCCAGGTGCCATATGAGTAAGACCAGTAGGGTTGAGCTCCTTATGTTGTAATAATAAAGCACTAAAACTCAAAGGGTATTTAGCCCATAAAATGGCTAGTTGTAGTAACCATGAGATTCCTTGATGCTGGTGTGGGGCTCTTGACCCAAAGAATTGGAGCTACTTTCCACTTTCTCGGATAAATCCTGATTACCTCCTATGCCAGCATGGGGGGTGTTGCTGGGCATGTGATCCCGGTGTTGGGAGGGGGGGGCGGAGTGCACAATGTAATAGGCAAGTTCTATAGAGCGTTAACACTGGTGCAATCATACCTACTTATGTCTAAAAGCTATTCTTAGATTTGCCAAATGGGCATTTGCTGCCATGGCAGCAGTTATTTGGCTGATGAGTGCCTCAGGATATGCTTGGTACGATGCTCTCCTCAAGGTTCTTGAATTAAGTTTGCAACTTCTCCTCTCTACCCCCAGAGCCTATACTCCGTCTGCGTTTTTTTTTTTTTTTTTTTTTTTTTTTTTTTTTTAGCCTAGCTATGTATCTGGTCAGGATTAGGTTAATTGATGAAACGCGAGTATGCCCATTCAAAAATTCCAAGTATATAAAAGTCCCAAAAAATTTATAACGCTTCCTGAAAATGCGAAGTTCCTCATCTGCCAGCAGCGCTGTATGACTTGTGGGTTTAACGTTTAGTTTGGATAATAAAACCCATCAACCAATATCTTTCCCTTCAAGGAATTTTCCTAGACGGTGGGGGCTCTTGATTTAGGGAACTGGATCTGTGCTCCAGTTTCCTGGGCTGTATAGTCCTTGTGGCTTAGCGCTTCTTTTTGATTATAATAATAATAATAATCCAGTTTCCTGGATTAATGGTTTAGCGCTTCTTTTTGATTATAATAATTATCCTTGAATTAAGCCTGAATACCTACCACAGGCGCTGAATAATCCTACGGGTTTAGCTCTCCCTTTTATAATAATACCAGCATCTTTACTAATGCTGTTGAAAAACCTATTAAATATTTCACGTAAACGTTTTATCAATTGACAATTCTTGAGCTTGCTTTCAATACTAATTCAACCACTCCAGAACATGCATGTCATCGAACAGATATGATTTTAATATAAGATAATATATTTGTAATAGAAAAATTATTTATTTGTAACCTGACTGTTTAGCGCTTCTTTTTGATTATAATAATGTAACCTGACTCACTGTATTTTCGAGTGTAACGATTTCCGCGAGTTGTACTGACTTAAAAAAAATATTTAGGTCTTGATCACAGCAGGAAGTAAACCGTATAATTATTTTGCAATGGCTTTCTTCTGAGCCTTCAACCCCTCAAGGAAGGTTCCTTGATGTTGGTGAGGGGCTCTTGATTTAGGGAATTGGATCTGTGCTCCAGTTCCCCGAATTAAGCCTGAATGCCTTCCACATCCCCCCCCCTAGGCGCTGTATAATCCTCCGGGTTTAGCGCTTCCCCCTTGATTATAATAATAATAATCTGAGCCTTAGATTGTATTAAATTATATCTATTATAATTTGATCAGCAGCGCTGTATAGCCCTTGTGACTTAGCGCTTCTTTTTGATTATAATAATAATAATAATATATAATTTGATCAAATGCTAAATGTAATCATTTCGAATGTATAACTGTATTTATATGCCTCTTAGATAAATAATTATATATACATGTATATTTTTTCAATTTGATACCACGCTGTACTGTAAGTTTATTCAGGTACACATTATTAGTTGCATAAATTATCATACATAGCAGCATATGTGTAGATTACCTAGGATAACCCCGAAAAAAGCGGACAAGGTGACTTATTTCCATTGGGGTCCTTGCTTTTATATAATCTTGATATAAGTATGCCTCCTCAAGGGAGGTTTCTTGACACTGGTGAGGGGCTCTTGATCTAGGGAACTGGATCTGTGCTCCGGTTCCCTGAATTGAGCCTAAATACCTTCCATCCCCCCCCACGTACGCTGTATAATCCTATGGGTTTAGCGCTCCCCATGATTAATTATAATAATTTATATAATTAAGTTATTAGGCACACCTACGCATAATTACAGTTATCATAGTAAGTAATTTCATTTAGGCCCAGTTACACATAAGTACAACCATCATACATAGTGTAAATTACATAACATAATTAAAAAAAAGTCGTAGTTATTTATTTCCATTTGAATTCCTAGTGTAATGTCGTAACTATATATTATATATATTGACGTTTTAAACACAGGAAAAAAATATACAGAATGACTTGATCATATGAGATAATAATAATAAATATGTAAGTCTGTATTGTTGATGTTATTTATATATTATTTGTGGTAACAAGAAAGAGGTGCTGGAGCGAGTGCGTGTTGGAGGATCATGGCGGCGCAGGCCAAGAAGGACGAGCTCACTTGGATGCACGTTATTGTCAGAGTTTTCCTTAATTCCACTACACACCCCATTGAATATGCCAAAGTTCTCATCCAGGTAATCTGTTGTTTGCTTGTCAAGAGAACTGTGTGTGTGTCTGTCTGGTATTTTAGGGGGGATAAATGGTGGTGGTGGGTCCCGGCATTATATAGTTAGCTGATTTCATTAGATAAAAGGTTATTAATTAATATGTAGCCTTATTGTTATGGAATAATAACTTAAAAGTAACAACATGTTATATATGTACAACTGGCACTACTGCTTATCAACCTTAGTACCCTATACGACATAGTAAATTAAAACAGCAAATATTTCATGGATGACAAACCATAAACCAGGAAAACGCCCAAGGTTTTATTTACGTTTTATACACTAACATAATTTGTTTTTACACTGGTCTTGAGGGCACATGTATTAAAGACATGGTACCTTCTACCGTGACAGTATGACTCATTTAAAGAAAAGTGCATTACTGTACTATTATTTATTCACTGGAAGTGCTAAACCTGTAGGGGTCAAAGTATGAATGGTAGGCAATCAGGTTTGATCCAAGGAAAGGCAAGATAAGTCTAATTAGTTTTATCAAGGCAGTGCTGTATAACCCTTATGGGGTCAGATATGACTGATGCAATAATAAATAATATTTTATCCAGAGCCTTGTCGGGGTTAGCCAGACAATAGCCAAAAAATAAATTTGATATTAAGTAAAAATGAGGGTAAATTTCTAGTAGTGTATGTAGATAAAATTCAAATTGACTCAAACAGAATAGTGGAAGTATACTATATAAATGTAATACATGTATATCCACAGTGGAGTGCATGGCTTTGTGTATACATATATATACAGAGAGTTTACTGTATTCTACTTTAGGTATATTTAATGTGAACAGAGTTACATGAGCCTCGTGTAGTTGATAAACTTCGAACCCAATTATCAGTCTATACTGTACTGTACTTGTGGCTCTAGTGGTGGCACCTTTGGCTTGCACCTGAAGGACTCGGGTCAAGTTTATTTAGGTACAGCTACACGTAAGTACAGTTATCATACATAGTGTAAATTACCTAGGATAACCTAAAAAGAAGTCAGAAAAAATTACTTATTTCTGAGACACTTTTGCAACATTTGGGTATCTTTATTCTGGAAACATTTTTACCACACTGGCTTCTTCAGTCCAGTGCAGAGAAAGGTGGAATAAGAGGAGGAGTTTGCGGTAATCAGTCCCTCAGCCTTGAATTGATGTGTTCAGTCCATCAGTCTTTACAAAAGTGCAGCATATTCACAGAGATGGGGCTTATATACTGATGGAGGCAAGATAGAGCAGTGGTAGGTGGAGTTACCAGCTAACAAAGGTACTAGTGGAAATTTTGTGCATTTATTGGATTTTGTGTAAAATTGGCCAAATTACCTACTTTTGTGCACTTTACATGGTAGTTGTAATAGTTGAATGAGCAGTTTCTTGTGTTTGGTTGATAGAATAGAAGATATACTAGTGAAATAGTTAAGAATTTGGTCAAAAGGAGCAATGGAATCAACTTAAAATAGGACTCAAAGTAGGTGAAGCTGCTCATGTGTAAATTGCCAAAACCATTAACTTTGTGTTTGCATAATTCATAAGCTTTCCATGAAATTTTGTTCTTTTGGTGTTATTGCCTTTAGAAAAATATTCTCTACAGAAAGAAAATATATATATATTTTTAAGTGGACACTGGGAGCAATATTAATTTCAGGAGTTTGGACAGTGAAAGGGTTAATTTGTTTTTAATCTCAACAGCTGGGTCATGAACCATTGGAACCATACAAGTCAAGAACGATCTTTGGGCGAGAAGCATTCTATTATCCCAGTGTCTTCAGTTACAGTAAGTTATAATGCAGTCCTTAGTTGCAGAAATCATTATATGAGTATGCTATGTAAATTGAGTAATAAGATATTGTATATTATGCAGTATCACTTCATTTGATGGACTTTATGCAATTAATTTTGGGAAGCCCCCTTTACTTGTAGGATTTTGGGCAGTGGTTAAAAATTTAATTGGTAATGTTACACAAAAAATGTAAGCTATGTTATTAAGGCAAGCATCATTCTTCACAGCACACACTGTTGGTAACATTTCCCCACAAGGGTAATTTTGCCTTGTATCAGTGTTTGCATTTTTATTTCAAGTAAAACCTTTCATCCACTGTAATAGTTATTTTTTACTTGTTTTAGCATTTCTTGTCACTTGTACTTATACAGATACTTCTGGCAGTTTGATGACTTCTGGCAGATGATGATCAGACTTAAATGCAAATTATTTGGTGAGCATATGGTCACTGCCTTGAACACTATGTGCTTAATTGTCCACTTATTGAAGAATATAGAGATAGACAGTATAATAACCTATGTGACATGTCAAGATATCTTATTAATGATTATAAGATACCAGATATACTAAGCAGATTTCCTAAACTTGCTTGTACCAGATAAGTGAACTGTAGCTATAAATCCAAATGTATACCTATAACCCTTTTTGGGGCCTAGTTCCTAGGCCTTTTGTGTATCTATATGCTCTTGCACTACCATCCACAGGATGGATATGGGGTGCACAATAAACTAGCCACTTCTGTGGCAAAATCTAAAATCTTGTCCTTATATACTTTTACACAAATACAATAAAGTTAGTATATTGAGGAATTTCATTGATAATTGTTAACTGTCTAGGCCACCTTTGATCTTTCTTTATAATTTAAATCCCCAGTTAAAATTATTTTTGGCTTTATATGATCACTCTTCATACATACAGTCCTTTGTATTTTATGCAGTCATTCATTTTTTCTGTCCAATTTTTTCTTTTCCCCAGTGTATTGCAAAACAGTGTCAGAAACAAATGTTACACCTTAAATTTATAGTTTTGTAATCGTGTTACAGTTTCTTACATTAAGAAACGTGATGGATTCACCGGATGCTACCGTGGGCTGACTCCAAAATTGGCAGCCAACATTGTGAGTGGTGTGGCCTTTCAGAGAGTCACAGAAAGTATTAAGTTTAAGGTAGGTGTTTCTTTTTCTTGTAAGGGTTTGGCTAAATGTTGCTCTAATAAATTTATTTTCCTTGCTTTTATTTTTAGACACGTTAAGTATAACAAGAGTTTTTGATTAATAAGTTTGTACATGGCTAGTGGGTGACCATACTTGTAAAGTTATGTTGTAAAATTATATTCAGAATTACAACAAACTGGCCGTATCCCACCGAGGCGGGGTGGCCCAAAAGGAAAAACGAAAGTTTCTCCTTTTACATTTAGTAATATATACAGGAAAAGAGGTTACTAGCCCCTTGCTCCTGGCATTTTAGTCGCCTCTTACAATACGCATGGCTTACTGAGGAAGAATTCTGTTCCCCTCCCCCATGGAGGTAAGAGGAAATAAGAACAAGAACTAGAAAGAAAATAGAAGAAAACCCAGATGGGTGTGTGTATATATATGTTTGTACATGTACATGTAGTGTGACCTAAGTGTAAGTAGAAGTAGCAAGACGTACCTGAAACCTTGCATGTTTGAGACAGAAAAAAAGGACACCAGCAATCCTACCATCATGTAAAACAATTACAGGCTTCCGTTTCATACTCACTTGGCAGGACGGTAGTACCTCCCTGGGCGGTTGCTGTCTACCAACCTACTACCTACAAGTTTTTTTTAACTAGTCGGCTGTCTCCCACCGAGGCAGGGTGACCCAAAAAGAAAGAAAATCCCCAAAAAGAAAATACTTTAATCATCATTCAACACTTTCACCTCACTCACACACAATCACTGTTGTAGTTATTTTATAAATTTTTTATTTTTCATAATGCTGGATAATCTTAATACCAATAAATTTTGGCTTGGAATGAACACACACTACATATAACCTAATCTTCTAACATTTAGTAGTGTACAGATAGTCACCATATAGTTAATAGTAATGGGAAAATGTGCACAGAAAAAACTATTACTATAATAAATATTTTCTAGAATATTGGCATGCTACCTAAATATGTGCTACATTATATGTAGAACATTTGAAAATTAAGCTCAGGTTAAACAAAATATGTGAAAAATTTTGGCAGAGTAATAAATGGGCTAAAAATTCATTCTAAACAAATGTAACAATTGAGAGCGAGTGCTAGGATTCAAACCCATAGCTTAGCAGTTGCAAACCCATTGCTCAGATATCGAAACTTTGGCGGGTTTCAGCTAATTTTGATGGTGTTGGTAGCTTCTAAACTGAATGTATTGTTGTCATTGGCTAATTTTGATGGTATCAGTACTAGAATTGTATATTGCCTAATTTTGATGGTATCAGTACCAGCATTGTGTATTGGCTAATTTTGATGGTATCGGTGGGTATTGGCCAATTTTTGTAGTATCGGTGTCGGCCTAAAATTGGGTATTGGTATCGGCAAAACATTTGGTATTCTTTCCCTACTCTAGTATCACTTGTACTACTTGTAATATAGTTGATGTTGTGTTGATTTGTCAACTGCCATCTAATATTGCTAGCAACCATTTTTAAGAGTCATAGTTATTATGTAATGTAGAGGGAAGGAAGTTAGGGAAGTCCATAAAATATTTGTCTCATGCTGTAGTCTGTGTAAACATGGAAAGATGCTACAGCAATTATCGTATTTTCCTGTTATTGTCACATTCTCAGTTCCTGACTAACAGCACTATATACAATCATGATAGAAAAGTTTGAAGTTCCCAAGAATTAGTGATTCCTCATACTGTAACTAATTACTGGTAAGTGGTAGATGGGTAGAGTTATTGCTGGGAGAGGCAAAAGTAGTAAAGAGGTAATTATTTTAGTCACTTTTGATTTACATATTGGTACATCAGACTGCATGGAATGTTTGTGAAGTTTACATTGCTAAAGTAGAAACTATAGATATACATTAATTATTTTCAATACCTAAAAAAATATTCTGCACTTTTGCTGTAATATTAAAAAATATATTTTATAATTTCCAATACATTTACCAGGAACTTGATGGTGATATCAATGTTGAAGAATTGACAGTTAAGGAGCGAACTCAGCGGTTCCTTCAGAATACCACCCGGGAATCGGCTGGTAGAGCAGCAGCTATTCTTGCCTCTCAGCCTTTCCACGTCATAGCTGTGCGCTGCATGGCAGAATTTGTGGGTGAGGATGGACAATATACGTAAGTTTGTTATATTTCTGTGTAAATAACAGTAAATGTTTGCAGCAGTAACTAAACTATTATGGAACTGTCTCCTTTATAATTTAAGTAATATACTGCACTGTATCTCAGATAATGCAGATTTCTCTCCAACTGTATTTATATATTTCTTTATTTACAATTCAAAATTGAAATCACATACCTTAATTTTCTTGTTAGTGGCAACCTCTCCATTTGAGTGTTATAGTTTCCTTTACTGTCTTGTTACGAATGCTCACATACTATAGGAAAGCACTTATTCTGTATCCCTGAGTTTAAGATATCAGTGAAAAAGTTTATGTACAGTAATTGATATCATTAATCTTTGTTCTAATATAAATCCATTTTAACCCTTTCACTGTCAAGACCCCTGCTCTCAAACTTGCTCTCAGTGTCAAAGAATTTAAAAAAAAAAAATTTTGTGAAATGATTGAGAATCTTTCCGAAAGTAATGACACCAAAAGTACGATATTTGATGGTAAACTTATGGAATTACACTCTCGTAAAGTTAATGTTTCAGCGATATTTATGTATCAGTAATTTCCCCCAATTTGCACTCTGTTTTTGGCCAATTCCATTGTTCCAGTCCACCAAACTCATAGCTATTTCGCTAGTATTCCTTCCTCCGATTGAGTACAAGAAACTGCCCATTTACCTATTTCAGCTACCCAATAAAGGAATCAGAAATTGGTAATTTGACCAATTTTATACAAAATTCAACAATTGCCAATTTGAAAACAGGGTCCAGAATAAACAATGTAGAAATTCCTGGCACTAAATAAACATTTCCTGTGTTCCTTAGTCACGACTCCAGGCCCCTCTTATATTACCCTTGCTTTTCATTTTGAATTTTTATTCACACAAAAAATGGAAGATTTACTGTTATGCAGACTACTGCATTATTGTAATAATTGTATAAATAATGTCAGTGCATTCCTAAATGCATATTAGACTGGTCTGTTATATATCTTTATTTCTACAAGTACATGTACAAGGTACATGGGCCTATCAGATATCAGTGACATACTACTATGTATATAGAAAGCTGCTTGTTATGCAGAGCATTTCGGGCAAATTAGGTCAGTTTTGTCCAGGGATACAACCCACACCAGTCGACTAACACCCAGGTAACCATTTTTTACTGATGGGTGAACATGGACAACCAGTGTAAGGAAACATTCCCAATGTTTCAAACCTCACCAGGAATTGAACCTGGACCTTCTCCATGTGTAGTAAGAGCTTTTGCCATCAGGCCATGGGCCACCATAATGTGTATTGGACAAGTGACATCATTTGTGTACTCTGGAATATTGGCAAAAATTGAACATTTCTGCTACTTTGAGCTCAATTCCAAGCTACTTTTAGCTCTGAAACTAATCAAAATCATCTCAATTTCTGTGAAATATCTTCCATTTTATCAAATGAGACCTAGAAACCGAGAATACAGCCATAAAAAACCATACGAAAATACACCACATAATACACCAAAAACACAGTCATAATTTTTTCTCATTATGCACTGCATGCTGCAGGATTTTTTTATGTGGTGCACACTTACCGCATAAACCCATTCTCTAGTATCTAGGCCCAAATTTAATGCTTACAGCTTATCTGAGTGAGCTGAGCTTATGGTGTCATACTACGGGTCCGACACTGGCATCAAAGCCGTGATACAATGGGACCGACAATGAAAGGGTTAAAAATATACAGTGGAACCTCTTATTAACAGAACTTGGTAATTTTGGACATAAAAATTGGCTGGAAAAACACACTAACTGTAAATGGACAGAAGTTATTTTTTTATTAACACTGGCCATCTCCCACTAATGCAGGGTGGCCCAAACTTTCATCATCATTGTCTTGCCAGAGGCGCACTTACACTACAGTTATAAAATTGCACCCCTCCTTCATAGTGTCTGGTCATCTTCTGAAGCATTGGGCCAAGTCTGCTAATTCCAACGTTTGTCTGGTACAGGTCAAAGTGCCCACATCCAGTACCTGTCCGTTTTCATTGTTTCCCGAATTGTAGGTCACTCACTCCAGTTTGTTTATGTTCACTCCCCTATACACTTGTCATTCAGTAGTATAATTTTCCCTGGATTTAGAGTATTTTGTGTAACCTTGTTAAGTGCAGTTAACAATGGCTTCTAAAGCAAGTGGTGGTGTCAAGGAAAAACATGTGGTTCTCAGAAATCTACAACTTGGCTATCTACATCTTCTCAGCCTCTACATTACTTCCACTAGTAGATCTTTACAGCTCTTCTGACTCAGAATAATAAAAGTTATTTTGAGTCACCACGGTCATTCACAGCAGTTTACAACTCATCTCCATCACAAAAAAGTAAGCAAAATTGCTGTAAATTACATACAGTACTATAAAATTACTATACAGCACAGTACTGTAGTACTACAGGTTACAGTACCCACATTGTGTCTGGTGTTTTCTGCATGAGCGGACAAAGTCCTCTATTTCAGAAAACAATTGGACAATCGTGAAATATTAATTTCATAATTTGTGACATGCAGACATTCAGCATTATTATACTCCCCCTTCCTCCTATTCGTCTGTTAATGAGAGGTTTTACCATACCTTTGTACAATTTTGCAACAGGCAAAAGTTGTACATTCAACTATAAAAAGGCATATAATACATTGTGAGAATATGCTGAACATCTGGAGGTGATGTCACCATGGTTGTTATAGATGGGGTCATAAAAGAAGTGAATGCTAGAGTGCTAGGGAGATGCATGAGATTGAAAGATAGTGAATTTGGTGCAGAGTGGGATTTGTCACAGTTTTTTTTTTTTTTTTTTTTTTTTTTTTTTTTTTTTTTTTTTTTTTTTTTGCCATCAGAAGAATGCAGATATTTGAGGATTATAGTTAAGTTGTGGATAAGAGAGATTGCTTTATTTCATTCTTTGAGTCTTAATTTTAAATTTTTGAATTATTTTAACCTTTTCAGCTCATTTTATTATTACAGTGGAACTTTGGTGCTTGAACTTAATTGGTTCCTAGGTGGTGGTCAAACTGTGAAAAGTTTGATGTCCAAAACAGTATTTCCCAGGCTTTAATTATCAGGCTCACACTGGAGGATGTTGAACTGACTCTTCCAAAAGTCTCTTCGAGTTAGGTCAGTGTTAGGTCACTTCAAAGCACTTTTGAAAGAAGGCTTTCATATAAAGTTTTTTTACAATTGAATTTTAAACAAGCCGGCACGTTTGGACTCCAGTAAAACGTTCAAAGACTGGGTCAATTTTTCTATACAAAATTGTTCAGAATCCAGTTCGTTTAAGGTCCAGTATGCTTGAATGCTGAAGTTTTTATTTATAGTAATTTATACAAGAGAAGGGGTTACTAGCCCCTTGCTCCTGGCATTTTAGTCACCTTTTATGACACCCATGCTTACAGAGGAAGGATTCTTTTCCACTTAATAAGAACAAGAACTGTTAAGAAAATAGAAAAAAACTGATGGGTGTGTATTCATATATATACATGTACTACATACATGTGTAGTGTGACCTAAGTGTAAGCAGAAATAGCAAGATGTACCTGTTATCTTGTGTGGTTACGAGACCAAGAAAAGACACCAGCAGTCCTACCATTGTGTAAAACAATTACAGGTCTCTGTTTAGCACTCATTTGGCAGGACGGTAATACCTCCCTGGGTTGTTACTGTCTACCAACCTACTACCTTATTATTATTATTTTTATTACTATTATATTATTATTTTTAGTTGTTTTTGTTCTCATTATAGAGGTGTGTTTACTGCTGTGGGGATCATCTATAGAGAACAAGGAATAAAAGGCTTTTTCTGTGGCTTGATTCCACGTCTCCTTTGTGACCTGGCAGCATTGTGGCTCGGCAAGACTCTTGCCCATGTGATTAACAACTATCTGGTGGAGGATAAGGATCTTAAGCAATATGTGTCTGCATCAATGAATGTAAGTACAATATTTAGTGAAGGGATTCAGGGAAACCGGTTATTTTTATATAGCCGGACTCGAGTTCTGGAAATGGGAAGTACAATGCCTGCACTCTAAAGGAGGGGTTTCAGGATATTAGCAGTTTGGAGGGATATGTTGTGTATCTTTATACGTATATGCTTTTAAACTGTTGTGTTCTGAGTACCTCTGCAAAAACAGTGATTATGTGTGAGTGAGGTGAAAGTGTTGAATGATGATGAAAGTATTTTCTTTTTGGGGATTTTCTTTCTTTTTGGGTCACCCTGCCTCGGTGGGAGACGGCCGACTTGTTGAAAAAAAAAAAAATTGTTTTATTTTATACTTTTACTATAGCCTTAGAATAATACCTGAAGATATATATATTTTTGAAATTTATTAAATCAAAATACTAAGCTTACTGTCAAGAAATTTTAATGAAAATAAGAAAAAATTTTGGAGTGAGTTAAACAAGTTAAGAAAGCCTAGGGAAAGTATGGATTTGTCAGTTAAAAACAGAGTAGGGGAGTTAGTAGATGGGGAGATGGAGGTATTAGGTAGATGGCGAGAATATTTTGAGGAACTTTTAAATGTTAAGGAAGAAACAGAGGCAGTAATTTCATGCACTGGTCAGGGAGGTATACCATCTTTTAGGAGTGAGGAAGAGCAGAATGTAAGTGTGGGGGAGGTATGTGAGGCATTACGTAAAATGAAAGGGGGTAAAGCAGCTGGAACTGATGGGATCATGACAGAAATGTTAAAAGCAGGGGGGGATATAGTGTTGGAGTGGTTGGTACTTTTGTTTAATAAATGTATGAAAGAGGGGAAGGTACCTAGGGATTGGCGGAGAGCATGTATAGTCCCTTTATATAAAGGGAAAGGGGACAAAAGAGACTGTAAAAATTATAGAGGAATAAGTTTACTGAGTATACCAGGAAAAGTGTACGGTAGGGTTATAATTGAAAGAATTAGAGGTAAGACAGAATGTAGGATTGCGGATGAGCAAGGAGGTTTCAGAGTGGGTAGGGGATGTGTAGATCAAGTGTTTACATTGAAACATATATGTGAACAGTATTTAGATAAAGGTAGGGAAGTTTTTATTGCATTTATGGATTTAGAAAAGACATATGATAGAATGGATAGAGGAGCAATGTGGCAGATGTTGCAAGAGTATGGAATAGGTGGTAAGTTATTAAATGCTGTAAAGAGTTTTTATGAGGATAGTGAGGCTCAGGTTAGGGTGTGTAGAAGAGAGGGAGACTACTTCCCGGTAAAAGTAGGTCTTAGACAGGGATGTGTAATGTCACCATGGTTGTTTAATATATTTATAGATGGGGTTGTAAAGGAAGTAAACGCTAGGGTGTTCGGGAGAGGGGTGGGATTAAATTTTGGGGAATCAAATTCAAAATGGGAATCGACACAGTTACTTTTTGCTGATGATACTGTGCTTATGGGAGATTCTAAAGAAAAATTGCAAAGGTTAGTGGATGAGTTTGGGAATGTGTGTAAAGGTAGAAAGTTGAAAGTGAACATAGAAAAGAGTAAGGTGATGAGGGTGTCAAATGATTTAGATAAAGAAAAATTGGATATCAAATTGGGGAGGAGGAGTATGGAAGAAGTGAATGTTTTCAGATACTTGGGAGTTGACGTGTCGGCGGATGGATTTATGAAGGATGAGGTTAATCATAGAATTGATGAGGGAAAAAAGGTGAGTGGTGCGTTGAGGTATATGTGGAGTCAAAAAAACGTTATCTATGGAGGCAAAGAAGGGAATGTATGAAAGTATAGTAGTACCAACACTCTTATATGGGTGTGAAGCTTGGGTGGTAAATGCAGCAGTGAGGAGACGGTTGGAGGCAGTGGAGATGTCCTGTTTAAGGGCAATGTGTGGTGTAAATATTATGCAGAAAATTCGGAGTGTGGAAATTAGGAAAAGGTGTGGAGTTAATAAAAGTATTAGTCAGAGGGCAGAAGAGGGGTTGTTGAGGTGGTTTGGTCATTTAGAGAGAATGGATCAAAGTAGAATGACATGGAAAGCATATAAATCTATAGGGGAAGGAAGGCGGGTAGGGGTCGTCCTCGAAAGGGTTGGAGAGAGGGGGTAAGGAGGTTTTGTGGGCAAGGGGCTTGGACTTCCAGCAAGCGTGCATGAGCGTGTTAGATAGGAGTGAATGGAGACGAATGGTACTGGGACCTGACGATCTGTTGGAGTGTGAGCAGGGTAATATTTAGTGAAGGGATTCAGGGAAACCGGTTATTTTCATATAGTCGGACTTGAGTCCTGGAAATGGGAAGTACAATGCCTGCACTTTAAAGGAGGGGTTTGGGATATTGGCAGTTTGGAGGGATATGTTGTGTATCTTTATATGTGTATGCTTCTAAACTGTTGTATTCTGAGCACCTCTGCAAAAACAGTGATAATGTGCGAGTGTGGTGAAAGTGTTGAATGATGATGAAAGTATTTTCTTTTTGGGGATTTTCTTTCCTTTTTGGGTCACCCTGCCTCGGTGGGAGACGGCCGACTTGTTGAAAAAAAAAAAAAAAAAAAAAACTAAGCTTACTAGGTGCTGTCAAAATGTTTCTGGACTGCCAGGGAAAAAAATGTCCAGACTTACCTAATCACCTAGTTGAAGTTGTCTTCCTTGAAGTACTCTCCATAAGAGGCTATACACAGATCTTAGTGCCTCTGCCACTTCTAGAAACATTTCTGGAACTCTTCTTTCCAAATGTCACCTGGCTCGGCCTACAATTATGCTTGAATAACCTCCATGTCATTAAATGCTTTCCTTTGAGTCATTTTCATTTTTGGGGAGAGAAAGAAGTCACAGGGAGCTAGATCTGGGGAGTAGGAAGGGTGGGAGACAGCCACCATGCTTTTGACCAGAAAATGATGGTGTTTGGTCTTGAGTCAGTAGTTGGGGTACAGATTTTGCAGCCACTTCCCACATGTGCAAATTTTGTTAGAGTGCTTTGACTACACAAAAGAAATTCCCACAGCACTGGCAGTGTCGTGGATACTAAGATGACAATCTTTAAGAATAGCCTTCATTGCTTTTCATCCTGCTTTGAATTAAGAAAAAACCATTCAGAACACTGTCCAACCCATTGCTTTGTCGCCAGATGCTTGCTGAAGCATTTTGAGTATTTCACTAGATGTTTTACCGAGCTAAAAACTTAATTTCTCACATACACGCTGTTTTCTTTTAAAAGATTCCATCCTGTTACACAGAATCACAACAATATACTGACAACTCGACAAAAAGTACCTTTTTTTTTTTTTTTAACAAGTCGGCCGTCTCCCACCGAGGCAGGTGACCCAAAAAAGAAAGAAAATCCCCAAAAAGAAAATACTTTCATCATCATTCAACACTTTCACCACACTCACACATTATCACTGTTTTTGCAGAGGTGCTCAGGATACAGCAGTTTAGAAGCATATACGTATAAAGATACACAACATATCCCTCCAAACTGCCAATATCCCAAACCCCTCCTTTAAAGTGCAGGCATTGTACTTCCCATTTCCAGGACTCAAGTCCGACTATATGAAAATAACCGGTTTCCCTGAATCCCTTCACTAAATATTACCCTGCTCACACTCCAACAGATCGTCAGGTCCCAAGTACCATTTGTCTCCATTCACTCCTATCTAATACGCTCACGCATGCTTGCTGGAAGTCCAAGCCCCTCGCCCACAAAACCTCCTTTACCCCCTCTCTCCAACCCTTTCGAGGATGACCCCTACCCCGCCTTCCTTTCCCCATAGATTTATATGCTTTCCATGTCATTCTACTTTGATCCATTCTCTCTAAATGACCAAACCACCTCAACAACCCCTCTTCTGCCCTCTGACTAATACTTTTATTAACTCCACACCTTTTCCTAATTTCCACACTCCGAATTTTCTGCATAATGTTTACACCACACATTGCCCTTAGACAGGACATCTCCACTGCCTCCAACCGTCTCCTCACTGCTGCATTTACCACCCAAGCTTCACATCCATATAAGAGTGTTGGTACTACTATACTTTCATACATTCCCTTCTTTGCCTCCATAGATAACGTTTTTTGACTCCACATATACCTCAACGCACCACTCACCTTTTTTCCCTCATCAGTTCTATGATTAACCTCATCCTTCATAAATCCATCCGCCGACGCATCAACTCCCAGGTATCTGAAAACATTCACTTCTTCCATACTACTCCTCCCCAATTTGATATCCAATTTTTCTTTATCTAAATCATTTGATACCCTCATCACCTTACTCTTTTCTATGTTCACTTTCAACTTTGTACCTTTACACACATTCCCAAACTCATCCACTAACCTTTGCAATTTTTCTTTAGAATCTCCCATAAGCACAGTATCATCAGCAAAAAGTAACTGTGTCAATTCCCATTTTGAATTTGATTCCCCATAATTTAATCCCACCCCTCTCCCGAACACCCTAGCATTTACTTCTTTTACAACCCCATCTATAAATATATTAAACAACCATGGTGACATTACACATCCCTGTCTAAGACCTACTTTTACCTATTTGACCTAATTGGAATGACCAACCACTCTGAAACCTGCCATGATACTTCACAAAGGAGTTAACTTTGCAGCATGATTTTTGCCGCTGCCATATTTCATCCAGGAAGCACATGAAAATTAGAGTCTGGGAACTCTTTGGTATCACCTCATATATAGATATAAGTGCAGTAAGGTCCCAAAACAATATTATTACTCATTGTAAAATGAGTCTGGAGAGAGTCATTGAAGAATAAAATTTTTCATACTATAAATGTATAATTTGTTGTAATAGCTAATTTTATTGCTTCATTTACAGTTCCTGGCTTCTGCAATGACCTATCCACTCCAGGTGGTGTCAAACTGTATGGCTGTGTCAGGCAGTGGGTAAGTTGTGCGTGTTTTTCAGTTTACATCTTTACTTTTAGCATTAAATTTTTTTTTTCATGGGCTGTCCCACTGGGGGGTAGGGGGGATCAAAAGGAAGGAAGCCATTCACTTTATCAATGAACATTTCCCTTTGCCAGAATACAAAACTGTGTGTGGGTGTGTGCATGTGGGTGTGTGTGGGTACTCTTGTTTTCCCCCTTCTCTCCCCATCATACCCAAAAAAAAATTTTTTTTTTTGTCCCCCTCCTTCCTGCTCTGCTTTTATAGTTGTTTTTCATCTGTAAACCCAAGCTTAATTAGTTTTGAATTCCGTAAAGTAATGTCTGTAGTGTTTTACATGAATTTTGGTGTACTTTTCAAAATGCTTTTAATTGTTGGGTTTGTTTCAGCATATTGTAAATATGAACACAGACAGGTGGCCCCTTAAAATTTTGGAGGGGTTTGTTCTAAAAACCTCGTGAATACAGAATCCTGAAATAACACTTAAGTTCTGACAGTATAATGAATTTTGTTTCAGATTTGGTCTCTTGTTTATGGTTCCAAAACCCTGTTTATTTAACCCTTGAACTGTCCAAACGTAGATCTACATTTACGCGCGTAGCGCTCCGACTTAGATTTTCTCCATTTTAAGGCATGTAAAAGAAACTTAGATCTATGTTCGGAGCAGTACACGAGCAAACGTAGATCTACGTTTGGACAGTTCAAGGGTTAAATGTTACTCCATCCCCATTAATATTTTCGTTCATAAAGAAAAGAAATTCATTGAGACTAGGAAATACTTGAACCCATTTATGAACAAAATTCTTTGGTCAGTTTTCAATTTAGTAGTCTTGTACCAAGCTGAAATGGAATATGCACCTCAAAAAGGTATAAGAGTAATTGAAGTTATTTGTGTGAGACTTGATAAAAAATATTGGATAGTTGAATTTTGTGAATTTGTAGTACAGCATTATGAATTTAGAATTATGACTGCCCATTTCTAAGAATATCAGGTATCATAATTAAAATTATAACTGCTTTTCTCTGACAGATTGGTTGCTGGTTCACCACCAAATATGCCCATCTTCAATGGTTGGTTAGACTGTTACCGTCATTTGCGGCAAGTTCGAGGATTGAAGAGAGGATCTTCTATGTTATGGCGTGCTTATACTGGTCCCACAATTATGCTTGATGGCAGTCTCAGTATTCCTTCGTCAAATATGTTCGCAGCACCTTTATTATCTTAGCTCTCTTTTATTTTGGGTTATTATTAGAATGATTCTTAAAATTGTCATGATACAATTGATACATCAGGGTATTTATTTCAAATAGTTGATGATAATGCCTGCAAAAAGAAGGTAAGTGTTCTAACTCATGCCAGTAAAGAGACTGGTGTTTACCAGGTGAACCTGAAATAACTTTCATAAATTTTTCTTTGAAAAAGAACTCTTTCATTACTGTTAACTTTAGTTTGTACATATTTTGTAAGAGTTTTGCCCAAAATTTAAGAATGTGTTCAGGTGTTTTTCATAAATTAGCATTTTTGCATAAATTACCATTGCTTTGATTTTGTAACTTGTAATGATTTCAGGCAACATAAGTGTTTCTACTGTGGTAAAGCATAAAACTTTTCTACTCGATACTATGATGTCACTATTTAGTAATGTAGGAAACTGTTATCTGAAGTTTATCTCAGTGTATCCAAGCTATTGATACCTTAAATGATACTAATAACTGCCATGTCTCTAAGAGTTCTTATTGCTTTTCTTTTGAGTAGTACTGATCGAGATCAAGTAACATGTATGTATTCCTGTAACCCAAGGAGTACTAGCATCCTTGTGATTCGTGATATTTGTGTCTGTTCTTGCCATTGCTCTCCATTGCTCTTCTCCCCATTCATCTTATCGTATGAGTACAGTGTTTTGTATATCATGATCATGTCTTCCCTTGTTCTTTCCTCTAAGATCATTAGGTTTGATTACTATAGTCTGTTTAGGCATGGCGTCTGTGCTGGTGCAGCATATTCTTACGATGTCGGATATATTTTGGGTGTAGTGTGTAATTATGTACCTATTTGTAGCTACAGGAGCAGAACATGCTTATGTCCTGTCTTCAGGGTTTAACCTGTTGTACATTTTTTATTGAAGGTCTTGTGGTTATAGCACTTATGCTGCTTGTAACTCATTCCATTGTTCTATCACTGTGGAAGTATTTTGTATCTGTTTTGGCATCACTTGTCTATTGACAAATACACCATCTTGTACTTCCTATTAGTGCTACTAAATTTTCTTTATTTTTATACCTCTTTGCATGTGTAATTACATTATAATTTTGTTTATTCACCTTTTTTTCTGTTTATTGTGTGTGTGCACTGGCAGTACCCTTTTTTAAATTAAATGGAAAGTGTGCCAACTCTTGGTTCCGTCTCTTAACTTTTCTTTTTTTATAAAATTTGATTAGATGTCATGGGTAGGAAATTTCAAATAGATATATTGCTAATCATTGGCAGTATAATTGTCAGTGCATTTTGTGGCCAGTTAATCCATTGAGAAAAATAAACTCACAGAGAATAGTTTTCAGGAACATTCATTCAGAAAAGTCTGTGTTAGAAGGCAGTACTGAAGCTGCTGCTGTGAATATTAGAAAGCATTATTGAAGTTTTTTTTTTATTTTTTAGAAAATTATATGGTATAATTGAAATTTTAGTTTCTACTGTTAGAGTGAATGTATTGATGTGTATCAAGTACTCATGGCTTTATTTGTCTAAAACTTCATTGTATTTGAAAAACTGGGCTCTGCTTTTTATTTTTTCTTTACTGTTGCCATTTGATGTAATATGAGTTAGAACATATGAATTCTAATTTAACACCTTAATCTTTTACCTTAGTCTCAGGTATGTGGAATATGTTATATCAAACACCTCTATTAATACTGTATTTTTTTTTTTTTTTTTTTTTTTTTTTTTTTTTTTTTTTTTTTTTGTTCTGCCTCGCTGAAAAAAATCAACGACTTCAATCCAGTTTTTTAAAGAAGTGAATTGGGCAAGCAAAAATAATTCATAACACTTAATAGAATATGTGGGGCTTTTGGGGGAAAAATTGTCTGATTGAAAGTTGGCATTTTTGTCAAAGTAAATGCACTTTTCCCCACAGTATTTGTAATATAAAGTTGCCTTTTACATAAATGTTATGAAACTGTACATATATTAAAAATAAGGTCACCCAATATTAACCTTAACAAGTTAATTTTTATAATTTTTTTAGTTGGGACATTTCATTTTGGGAAGGACAATTGGGATTTTTTGGGCAGTAATTTGAAAATATTTTTTCACCGAAAAAAATAAATCCCCCAAAACATTTGGGTCCAATTTCTGTAATAAATTGGAAAGTAAATTATCTGTGTAGAAATAGATACAGGTTTTAGTTTGGTAGAAAGATTATCATCAAAATTTACACAATATTACTTTCTTGAAAGATTTTTGACAGTAGTTTTAAAGATTGCATACTTTGTCCCCAATATTTGCATTAATTACATGAGTTTCAATATTGAAATTAATGATGCTTTTTATATCAAGTACTGTATTAAAAATGTGCTTAATTTTTGGGGAATAATGGGATTTTTGTAGGCCATACAGAAAATGATTTGAGTACAAAATGGAGCCTTAAAATTTCTGGGAATTATTAAAATATTGTTTTTAACGAATCATATGATCAGAAAATTGGTCCTTCAAAAAACCTGTATCTGTCTAAAAATAAAAAAAAATTTCTTTGACAAGTGAAGTATTTTTTTTTACCTTTATAAAAAAACTGTACGGTAAAACAAATTTAAATCCTTTTTGACAAGCCTTATAAATTTTGTGTAAAATTATGATTATTTGACTTTTCTTAGGAATTTTGGTGGAGCTGGCGAGAGTTCTTGATCAAAGAAAATTGAAACTGACTTCCCCCTTCCCTTTGGGCGTGATTGCCTCTCACCCCCCAAAGAACTGTATAAACACAGATTTACCCCCAAATCCCCTACCCCACACTAATAAATAATTTTTTTAAGAAGGACTCAAGGAAGGAAAAACATTTCCCCTTTCCCTAATCAAACCGATAACCCCATCCTTTTCCTTTTTTTTTAATTAAATATTTTAAAGGGAAAGCCTTGTAGGTTGAAGGGATTGACTCAAGAATTGGACATTTGCTTTTTCCCTTGCATCAAACTTTTTTACTACTATCTGTGGGCATTGTTGACCCTTGAAAGGCTTAGTCCTCAGGGTTTAAAAAAATATGATTGGCCCTAAATACGGAAACTTTTTTCTTTTAAAATTTACTGCAGCTTAGGGCCTGTGATTTTGTTTGACTTGAAAAATAGGCTTTACATACCTGTGCAACATCACTAACATTTACACCATTGCTCCAATCCTAGTCTTTTGATGTTACTTTTGGAGCAATGATGATGACGATTTACCCTGAGGGGAGGGGCTTTGATAATAGTGAGGGTCATACCCAAAGGAATCTGAGCTCCCCCCCGGGATCAACGATCCCCTTATACCCTACAATTTTCAGTGTTTTCCCAATGAATATAATACCTGGGGAGAGGTTCCTGAAGCTGAGGGGTTCTTGATCTAAAAAATTGGATGTCCTCCCTTCCTTAAATGAACTTGAATCCTCTGTTTCCCAAGGGGCGTATGACTCCTGCGGGAGAGGTCATTCACGAATGTAATTCAAAATTAATTTGAATCTATTCTTCTAATTCATATTGTTATAGTTTGGGACTTTTTTTATGAATACAAAAATTATCATCAGGCATTTGGCATGCAGCATTGAATGACAACCGGTTTACTCTTTTTTTGTAAATAAGTAATACTCCTTTACAATCCATACTTCAGACTTTCTTATAAATCAGTAGTTATTACTCTCATCTGGGAAATGCCTTGAACTGTGAAGGAAGTTTCTTGGGGATTTTGGAGCTTCCTTCCTTTTTTGGGATCAAACCAAATTCCTTCCTTTTGCAGGTGCTCTATGGCCCTTATGGATTCATTTTGCTTCTCCAGGGATAATAATTTGAAAATTTCAAAAACTACTTTACGGGTTTTTTTTGGGAGCCTCTTTTTAAACCAGCTTTATCATGTGTAAACTGATGATTCCAAACTGATGCAGAATAAATAATGGGGAAAAATTTCAAACCAGCAAACCTTCTCCCCCATTGTGGAGTTTAAGGGGTTTTGTGCCCGGTAAGGCTCTCCCCCAGGACCCAAGAGAGGTGCTTCAGTGAAATTTAGGATTTGGGATCCAAAAAATTTTTGCAACCTTCTTTGGCACTTTTGTATTTAGTACAGTTATGTTTATAATAAAATAAAAATTTTGGGCACTGTATGATCCTGCTCTGTGTTTATCTCAAAATTTGATTTTATGATAGCTTCTTTCAAAAAAACCGGCCATCCCCCCGGGGCAGGGGGGCTTATGAGAATGAAACTCCAAGGATTGTTTATTGTGGGGGCATTTTAGGGATTTAAAATTTGATTTTGTTTGCTTTTCCCCCATGAATATAATAATCAATTTAGCTTTTAACAATGCATATTAAATCGGGTTTTAAATAACTGTTTGTCACAACATTTAGAAGGCTTTAAAGGGACTCCCCCTTGGGATATTGTACCTCCGTACATTTAGAATGTTTAAAGTCAAAATTTCAATCTCCATTTTCCAGCTTTTTTCTTCTCCCAAAAAAGCACTCATAAGACAAAATTGAGCCAGTAAGTGCTTTGAATAGTTAGCATTCTAAAAGGATAATGTACGTACATAATGTTTTTAAAAACAATATTTACAAATAAACCCTTGTTTAAAAAAGTAAACTATACAATGTTTCAGTCCTTCCTGGCCTCAACAAAATGCCATCTGGATAAACCAAAATTATAGTTTCCCTTCCTAAGATGGGTTTTCGTGAATTGTTCAGCAAAATAATGTGACTTTTAATGTCACAACAGAAGAATACTGAAAAAAACAATACTGTGACGGAACGAAACACAAATAACCCCCACTAGACTGAAACTTATATGACATTTCATTCACTTGGGCCAGTTAATGGTCCTTATTGGGTCGAAATGTCGTCACAATTTCAAAATCCATGTGTGGGGTTTTTTGTGTTGAAGACTACTATATGGGATATGAAACAGCGGGTCCTGGGCCGCAGCCTGACATTATCCCCTACCACTATCTCACTAGTGCCAACAAACACATCCTAGGCAATTAGCAAGCTCAATATCGATTGGCATAGGAAAAACTGTTTTACAAATCAATTGCCCAAAAGTCTTCAGGTTATAGAAGAATCATAACAAAAATCAGCACAAAATTTTACCAGAAAAATAAGACTTGGTAACGAAGAGTTATTCCTTTTTACCCCTTCAAGAAGCGGGGGACCGTATGCGGGGGAAAGGGGGCTTGATCCAAAGGGAAACGAATTGTTCTCCTTTCTCGGTCAGATTTGTTATCCCCATTCCCCAGCACTACTGTATGATCCTTTCAGCTTTCGCTTTTCACCATCACTTTTAAGCTTTTACATAAAAACCCCCTTTTAGAGACTAATAAGCATGTACCCCCCTTTCCCCCAAAAATAAAACTAAAATAATAAAATATCATTTCCATAACCTAGCACAATACCATCATTTTCACGGAGGGAGACTAAAGAACTCTGACAACTTATGTGTAAACCCCATCAATCTTTGTGTCTTCTCTTTTCCCAGCATACATCTCTTCACATCTTTCTGACTGAGCTTTAAATATAAATTTTCCTTTTTTAGCATTTATGCGGATCATGTTTCTGTGTTCTTCTTTAAGTTTGGATAATCTGGTCCGTATTCATCTCTTCGCATCGATTCACTCTTCCGTGTTTAAAATGTTCCCTACGGTTCTCAGAGTGGAAAATCCTCCCGATTTTTCTTCTTTCCCCTTCCCCCCTCCCGTCATTGGGCTTCTTCCTTTTTTCTCTTCTTAAGTTTCTTTGGTTTTTGGGTTTTGGGTCATAACCACCCCAAACCCGGGATCATGGTTTCTTTTGGCTTTTTTTCCTCTTCATCCTCCCCTCCCCTCTTTTTTCCTCCTCCCCCTCCTCCACTTCTTCATCCTCACTTTATCTTCATTTTCCCCCCATTTGAAAACATCTTTAAGTGCTTTAAACCCTTTTTGCTACTTTCCCCCTTTGTTTTCAATAATTTGTCGTTCAATTTTATTTCTCGGGAAAAATTGCCTTTTTCTTTTTCCCAGATTTTCCCCTCTCATTTTTTACATTCTTTTTTTTTTTCTTTCATGTGATCAATTTATTTATCCCTGTTTAGTTCCTTTCTTGCCTTTTTGCTGCATTCTCGGCTCTTCTTTTTGTGCTGTCTCTTCTCCTCCCCTCTATTTCTTCCCCCTCCTCCAAATTCATCCTCTTCCCCTTCCCCCTCTTCTGATTTTTTCCCCTCCTCAGTTTTTTGCTCTTCCCCTTTCCCCTTTGCACTCTCCCTCTTGTGTAAGGCGAGGAGAAAAATTTCCTCGGCCTGACTTAGAGGGGGATTGGGGGAAAAATTTTTTTTCTTCATTTCCTACTGGAGGAGGCGGAGGCCAGGAACTCACGGGGTCTGTCTGAATCCCCACCCTCTCGATACTGGCAGCTCGATGCCTTTCTCCTTCTGTAGTGCTTTATATTTTTTTTCATAATAATTGCCCCTCTTCCATTCTGCAGCCCAGTTTTCAGAAAAAGCTTTGAGTGACCCCATCATACGTTTAGATTTCATCACCTGTTTCTTTTGGAAATTACTTGAGTTTTGGGTTATTGTTTCGTTTCCCGGTGTCAAGTTTTTAAGAATCAACACTATCCTAAAGCATAGCTTTTTCTCATGGATTTTTTTCCCAATTTTGGGAAAAATTTCATCTGCCTCACCATTGGCATGGGGTTAGGGTCGGGCATGCCCGCTTCCTTGAGTTGCCCTTTTAGTTTTTTTTTAAATCTGCCCGAAGAC